CCCCCCAGTGTTCATATAATCATAGTCATCCACATCAAATTATACAGTTTGACCTCCTCTTACGACCTTCTGTATAAGAAAATCACCTGTACAAACGCCACTTCCCATTTCCTCCCTTTTGGATGTTTTACGTGATAAGACAATTTGTAAGACTTTCCTCCTTGAAAGTGGGTGGGCCGTCTTAGAAATTTGGACGATATAATTGGACATACCTTTTGTGACCTTCAAACGTTCTCTCAACCCTTGTGTTTGGCATGCTTTGACGATTCATATAAATTATAGAATTACTTCAGAGATCAGACAAGAAGGTCCCCCCCCCCCCCCTGGGAACCCAAACCAGGCAAGTCCTCTTCATCTGCTATCGTTCTTAATATTAAAAAAATCCTTACCACAGCTGGCAATTATACAAGGGTCGTTCAAAAAGTTTTGCCTCCAAGTTCATAATTTCTTTATTACTGATGCTATATACAAAAGTTATCCACCAAATGAAAGCTTCGGATGCCTGCTACAAGACAGTAGCTGTACTTTTCAACATAGTCGTCTTCTTTGTCGATGCAGATCCGCCAACGTAGAATAAGTTGTCGCATACCGTCGGCAAAAAATTCATGTGGTTTTCCTCTGAACGAGAGACGCACATCTTCTTGTACTTCATCGTCATCTGCATAACGTTTTCCTTTGAGGTACTAATTCAACTTAGGAAAAAGATAAAAGTCAGATCGAGCAAGGTCTGGACTGTATGATTTGTGCGGTAAGGTCTCTTAAAATCTGAGACTTTTCATGGCATCTTGAGTTTGTCGACTCATGTGTGGACGGGCGTTGTCGTGGTGCAAAATTGCACTTTTACCGGGCCGAACTTGTGACAGCCGAGCTGTAAGTTTATTCAGGGTCTCAATATATCGTTCTGAGTTGATAGTAGGAACCCTGTTCCCAAATTTCCATATGAATCAGACCATCACAGTCCCAAAACACTGTCATAAGCACTTTCTTTGCAGATGAAACAACTTTGAACATCCTGGGGCTAGGTGAGTCAGTGTGCCTGTATTCTTTCGATTGTTTTTCGTTCTCTGGGTCATAATGGGGAACCCAAGTCTCGTCCCCTCTGACTGTACGGCGTAAGAAAGCTTCACCTTCATCGGTTATAACGAACCAGGAGTTCATCACTAACTTGACTTCGGTTCAATTTCAGCTCGGGTGAAAACATGTGGGGAACCCACCGTGCATACACTTTCCTGTAACCCAACACATCATGGATAATATACTGAGCACTCCCTACAGAAATCCCAAGCATTTCACTGACATCTCTTACTTTGATCCGCCGGTGTGCTTGGATGATCTCATCCACTGTCTCCTGGTGTTAAACATAACTGGCAGAGTCGGGACGACCACAACGAGCTTGGTCATGAAAATCCGTCTCTGCTGAACTGGTTTCAGCGAACTCATTTGCCCATCTTCGAACAGTACTTACACCTACAAATGCTTCACCAAAGACAAGCTTCATTCGCCTATAATGAATATCGATGGGTGCAGCTCCCTCTGCAGTAAGGAACTCAATAACAGCTCTTTGCTTTAAGCGCACATTCATAGGTTTGCTGGACGCCATTTTCTCGTCGACAATGTACCCTTGCTTCCATGATGTAAACAGCAATAGCAGAAATGTGTAACATCACAGCATAATTCTGTTTTGGGGGTTTGAGAGTATACATATTAAAGTCAATTGTGTACAAATTTCATGAAAATATCTTAAATAGTTTAGAAGTTATTGGAGAAGAGGCAAAACTTTTTGAACGACCCTTGTATCAATTCCAATTATCGTTTAAAAAATCAGGCTTAGACTTTATCACGTAATCACTTTGGTTAAGTTCTGATGTGTTTTTCCAGATCAGCTATTATAATTAGGCCAACACGTGTCATTCACTGCATGGACGCTGACCATAGACTTGAATCATAATATCCCAGACCAATCACTGTCATGGCTGCCATCCTTTGCTCTCTATGAAAACTTCGCTAATGTGGTGCGCAGCATGGGCATGCAAACGAGGGGCAAAACACCAATCTCTCTGTTGTCAAGTGCACTCACAACTTTTCCAACCATGCTCTACATTTATTGGTTCCATATAGAGTAAAGTCAAACAGTGCGCTCCATAGTGAACCAGAATTATGCCCGAGTGCAAAACTTAACAGGATAATATGAGTGGGTGGTTGTCGGGTGCACTGGTGTGGGTTGCTTCTTCTTTCCTATCAAACATCAATCGTGCTTATCTCCCCTTCTTCTTTTTTATGTTTGTTACTCTCTAGTAACACCTACGCATGCGAACGCCGTAAAACCTCTACTAAAACTAACTAATATAATGCAAATCTATGGATAAGATAATGTAATAATGTAACAACCCTCCCCCTCTCCCATGAGCAAGAAATTTACAATGTGCAATAACCACTTTTTGGTACACAAAACATGAATCACATTATGTCATATGGACACAGAAACACATACAAGCACTTACAGGCGTGCATGTACACATTCAAAAACCAAAACCTATCCTCAGACAAGACACCCAGAGGCTCTCATGGTCTAGAAGTTAAGGTGTTCACTTCTCATGCAAAAGGTCCCAAATTCTAATCCGGATAGCGGCGGAAAATTTTCTTCTTTCACATCCTTTCCTGCACTCTAATAATGTTCTGTCGTCTTCTCTCGTCTCCACTTTCTTCCCCCACCCCCTCACCTCCTTTGCCCCTCCTCTGGGCTCCTGGCTCTTTCTACAGCCTTTCTACTGCTACTCCCTGGCTCCTTACTGCTGTCTTTCAGCCACACCCCTGATCTTAAGGTAGGAAAGATCTACACCAAGCCTTCTCAGACAAGGACACAAAATCTCAGAGGTCCCGTGTGCAAGTTGTGCACGTTAAAGATTCCTTGTTGATCCATAATCGATAAGAGTAGGCCTGAAAATGTTTAATGTGTCCTGGGCACTTGTATGACCTTATGCAGTTGCGAGCGCCGTAAAACACTTACCAAAAAAAAAAAAAAAGACATGGCACCCTCAGATACATATAAATATCACTACTGTCACGAGAAAAATTAGGTAATCTAACATTATTTTTATATACACCCTGTAAGCAGTGTTAAACTTAGTTACTCATATCTCCTACAGATAACATAATCGGAAGCCACCAGCATCCACTTCCCCATGCCGGGTTTGTGCATGTACACAGCCAGCTGAGAGGTCATTGGAACGTAGCCTCCTTTAGGCAAAGGGTGTGTGTGTGTGTGTGTGTGTGTGTGTGTGTGTGTGTGTGTGTGTGTGTGTGTGTGTGTGCGTTTGTGTTTGTGTATGGGCTGTGGGAGGGTAATAAATAGAGCAACTCACTGTGCACCGGCAGGAAGAAGACATAATCCCCCCCCTCCTTCCCTCCCCAAAAAATTTAATGGAAGAATAACATGCACGAACATCTATATATGTAGATGTAATATTGTAAGATATTTTTTTTGCTGTGTAATCTATTCCTTCACACTTCTTTATGTTCAATTGGACGTGAATAGAAGTGGAAAAATATTACAGCTGGAGATGAAAAAAACGTGAACATTATTTCTCGAATAAAGAGGAACACATCAACGCAGATACACTCAGTTAGTGTAGCGAATGAGTAAGATATTGCACACAGACAGAAACAACAGAGGGAAAAAAAAGCAGCAGTACCTATCAGTGTTCAAACCACCTGCAATATGCCTGTCCCCGTCGTTTTATGCAAGAAAAATTCTGAAATTATGCAAAACGAGCCCAAAAATGTGAAATTAAGCGATTCTGTTAATTTTAACAAAGAATGATAAAGGAAAATAATCAGAAATTATGCAAAAAATGATCAAATTTTGGTAAATTATGCAGGGTGCATAAAACCATGGGGACAGATTCGCAGGCTACTACTATAATTTATAATAACCTCAAAAGAAATGCAATTCACATGAAAAGCAGAAATAAATTAAATACAACGAAACTGCTTTGAAACTTTGCTTGGTTTTTAATCAGGCCTTCTGAATAAGAGATTAATAACTTGAAACAAAAATATCTTCAACAGATAGCAAAATCATTACAGATGAAAGCTCGTTAAAAAACAACACAATATGTTTTCAACATAAGTAAACTCCGCGATTTATGATACACATAAATAAGTAATGTGCAATAATCAGCTAGTCATGTAACCATGGTAAACCCTTTCCGTAGTCACACTGTTAACTATGGAAAGTACATATATTGAAACTGAAATTCAATAAGGCAAGGATATTTTGATTTCATCATGATAAGTCTATTACATTCTACCAGCTGTCTAAGACCAGCCAGTACAACAAATTACACACAACATGTACATCATACTCAAGTTACCACTGCATTCAGTTCTCATCCTCACTAATAGTTCATCGGTCTCACAAGAAGAACAAAAATTAATGGCAGATAACCTTATTGCAAAATCTACAAAAAAAACAACAACAACAAACCCAAAACAAACCTCTATTACTGTCTGGTTAGCAGCATGAATGAAAAATACCTAAACCTAAATCTATCCTGAAAACCATCAGATATACAATAGGAGTTTTGCAAGACTAATTAAACTCATGAATAAATCAGAGGGTAGAACAGAAAATCTAACTATAACGTTCAAGTAACATTCTCAAAAGATGCAAAAACACCTCCCATCTCTCCCCAACCCCCTATATGATAAATATAGTGTTGTGAATGTAGGTACATCTCAGTCTGAAAAATAACAGATTGAAGCCCATAACTCACATTGATTTACACAAAGAGAGATTCAGTGTTGGAAGCAACTAAAATGAAAAAAACCAAAACAACAAGAACTACAGTAAATTACTTTTCATCAATCTGAAAGAAGAATTATTTATAATCATTCCCTTAGTCATAAACAAACAAGGAAAAAACCCCCACAAACAAAGATATCTGTTTGTGAAACACAAAATTGGAAAGCAGTTTCAAATGAAGAGAAACGTAGCCACTTTTCAATATTGCACATCGAAGGCTGCCAGAAAACATTGAAAAATGAAGGACAACCTGAAACAGACAAAAATTCTGTAAATGAGACAACTTCTCAATATACCTTGGAGAATGTCAAACTTTCACACAAACATAAGAGATGACTAGTCTAACATGTAAAATGATTAGCTGAGGAAGAAAGTTTCCAAACAATATTTACACCACACCGTGGTGTCACAGAGCCTGGACTGAATCCAGAACACTTCCTCACTAAACTTAATGTGTATTAAGCGTCCTGAAGGCTCTCCATCCATTTGGACCAAAAGCCTACTTTCAAGGATGGATTAATAAATTCTAGGTCCTATATTTTAATCAATCTTATATCAAAAGAGACGCAAAAACTTGTACCAAAAAATATAGAAAATCTTTTGTACACTAAACTAAATGTACCAAATATACCTTACATTCTCACAGGGGCTAAGCCTTTTATATAGAATTTTATGTCTAAGAAGTATGTCCATGTAACATTAAAGCTGAAGCTACATATATTATTTGAGCCCTACTTTAATGTTAATAACGTATCAGAATTTCACCCATAAGCACAGTAAGAAAAAATTGGTTGTCAGTATGAAAAGTTATTAAACTGGAACAATCATAAGAACAAGATACAAAAGCTTCATCTTGAAAGAATTATTAGCAAAAAGCAATGTATGACAGAGAGAAAGTCCTCTCTACTGTCAAACTGTGGAAGAACAAATATTTGATTGCCGCTTACATGAAAGAAAACATTTATTTCACAATAAAAGACACCAGAAATTCCATTTGCTAATTGAACAAAAGAAAAGTAATGAAAGAAATACCGATTCACAACCTAGCACACGGAATGATTGAAAGTAGTCATAAACATTTCAGTCAAGAAAGCAAAGAAAAGAAAACCAAAAAACAAACAGGCAAACTAGGAAAATCACAAAGAAAATGTCATGTTACATGTTCCCGTACATTCCAAAAAGGTGCATCTCAGTAGATAAGAGAGCTCGAGTTTCTTGCCAATAAAAAAAAACACACTGACTTGGCAAGGATCATTAGCACTAAGAAGAATATGACTGATAGATAGAAATTACAGGGGGGAGAGTAAAGAAGAAAGAGTAGGACCGACCAGCAAAATCCATCTGAAGAAAAGAAATTAAAAAAAACAACTTGAGCATGAAAGCATTATACATCTATAAATACAATGCTGCTTCACCAAAATGTCAAAAATGTATTTTACAACAAAGTCCTTCCTGTCTGTGTCTGTGTGGCTCAGCCCGTAGCTACTGTCACACAATGTCTACTGCTGAAAGGAGTGGCGAATCTGCTCATACTTCTGCAGTTCTTCCAGAGAGACAGATGGCACCAAAGTCTTGAGAGCAGCGAGGAAGTCCTCCTGGCTCACCACTAGACGGCTCTCATCTTCTTTAGAACCTAGACAAGTAAAAGTAAGTGTATGGGTTTAATAAAGCCCCTATCAACACTATTCACCATGAAAGGTAAAATGCAAAAAAAAACCCAAAAACATATGATTATCGTAGGACAAGTTGTTATTTATTGAGAGACTGTGTATTTGAGTAATGAAAAGTACATCCACACATTTAGCACTGGGCAAAAGCAAAAAAGACAGGAAGAAACAAAAGAGGGAAAGTTTCTAAAAAAACAACAAAGTACACTCTTCCCTGGAGTGAAGAGACAAACAAAAAAGGAACACAAAATATAAAGTATAATCAAGCACAAGAACGTACCTGCTTCAAGCCGTTCTATTTTGGTCCTCATGGCATTCAGCAAAGCATCAGCACACAAGGCATACAGATCAGCGCCCGTCAGATTGGGTGGGCATTCATCAGCAACTGAGTTCAAGTTAAGGTCAGGGGCCATGTCAAATCTGGGGGAAAAAAAACAAAGCTTCAATATAACCCAAAAACCTTGACCTTGACAATTTTTTAGGGTTAAAAACTTTTTTTCTCCTTTTATGTTAATATAGAAAATTAATTAATTTCATTTCAGTTTTACTCTATCAAGCCAAGAGCCCAGAGTGCTAACGCAATGGCTCTTAGTCTTTTCAAGTATGCCGGACTCCATTTTTCCAACCAAGCGTTGACATTTTGTTTCCCCTTTCTCTTTTGTCCCTCCATTTTATCTCCACCCTTTAGGCATACCTCCAAGCCTCATACTTTTATGACAATGAAATGAATGGCTCTGCCAGTGTGCTTAGCATGACCGTAAACAACACGACTACAGGTGAGCCATGTAGGAGTGAAGTGAAAGAACTTTTGGGTAACCCAACATCAGAACAAATTAGCAGAACTTGAACATATCACACCCGTGTTACAATATGCTAATATAGACAGACTACCATTATGCTACAAACACCTCAACACAGAGAGTAGAAAAGTCAATGTTTAAGGTGTAAAAGAAAATACATTTGGGAGAAACAAATGCAACCCACTGTGGTAAAACCTTAAGTTCCTTAGCAGAATGACTTTCCAGGAAAACTGACACAAAACTATACAACAACAAAAAGTTTTCTTAGTAGCCAGTAACAAAAAGGCATACACAAAAGAGTGAGTTTTAAGGTTTTTAATTTAAGTACAAGTTTTGCGACACTTGCAGCACAATTAGGTCATACATGTGCTGACGACTAGTGGGGTTACTTGAAAGTATAACATACAAATAAAAAGAAGAGATAAGGATGATAGATGTTTGATAGGAAAGAAGGAGTAAACCACACCAGAGCATCTGTTAATTACCCACAAAAGAGTGGGTCAGGACTCCTGAATGATACAGATATTGACCTATGCTGCTGTGATAAGTACTGGGGTTCAACACTAGACAGTATGTAAAGAAGAATTGTTAATTAGTGTGACTTACTCATATTGCACCAAAAAGGCATGAATCTATTTCATACAACAAAGGCTGATTGATAAATTGTGAGTTATAAAAGTTGTTTCATCATTTAGTTCTAAGAAAGGAGACACACGCGTATGCAGCACAAAACAAATACACACATACAAACTCATCAACTCTCACATACATAATCAAGTACACACCTACATAATCAAGAACACACCTACACACACACACACACACACAAACACATGAACACCCACATACACAGGGACACACACAAACATCCACCTACCCACCCACACACACACCCACAAACACATACACACACATCAACACCCACAAACACACATATTGAGACACATACACATGAACACTCATACACCTACACACACACAGACACACACAAATGAACACCCACACAAACAACACCACTCAGAAAAGTTACCCACTTGCGTGTGAGGGCTTGCAGAATGTTGAGCTGGGCACTACTGTCCCCACTGACTCCGAGATAGAGCAGTTTGTCAAAGCGTCCCGGCCGTAGAAGTGCTGGGTCCAGAAGGTCTGGTCTGTTGGTTGCACCGATGATAAAGACATCATACGATTGGTGTAGGCCGTCCAACTCTGCCAGTAGTTGGGACACCACTCTGGGTGAAAGAAAAGAAAAATTTATGAATATCACAATCTGAGACCCATCTTCAAAAGTACCTCTTCGGAGGCAAATTAAAAAGAACAAAAAGTAAGAATCTTAAGAAAACAACTATTAATTAGAAGCTACAGACTACCTTCAAAAGAGACACATTTTTTGGGGAAAATTAACAATAACAATAAGAAATAATTTAAAAGAAACAAACATAATTACAAACTACAACACCATTCTCTTACCATTGCCCAAGAAGACCAACTCATAATAACAGCGTATGTGTGACCTATGTAAGAAAATGTCCAAAGGTAAAAATATACAGTATAACACAGATAGGTCGAACACAGAAGACTGTAAATCACGCATCCAACGACCTGTGCCTGCTGTCACGTTTTTCTTCTTTATGTTTGTAAGATATCCCTCGAACTACGGATCCCTGGAACTACCAAGGCCGGTCCCGACGAATTCAAGTTACCCGTGTTATACTGTATGTGCTTCTCACCTGTCCATTACACCACCAGAATCCCCACTCCTCCCTCGGTTTGGAGCCAGAGAGTCGAGTTCGTCAAAGAAAATCACACAAGGCGAAGCACTCCTGGCTCGCTTGAATACTGGATGGAAAGAGGAAAGTAAAACATATGCGTGACAAGTCTATACCATCAAATACTTCTCCAGAGGCACAGACCATTGCAAGCACTAGATGTTTTATTGCCTGCAAATATCTGTGATCCGATTCCACAACTCACATAAGAATGAAAAAAACTGAAAAAAAACCCCACCTGAAACTTTAGAATCTACAGAAAATGGAATTTCCTTTAAAAGTCTATTTATCATTGATATCCATCCAAAAGATGAGTTATGGTGGTTTTTCGTTGATCTTTATTTGAGGGTGGTGGAAGAGTCCTCTTTATTCAAAAAAGAAAACTTATAAATAATTCAGAGAAACATGAAAATTGACAGGGCACAAGACCTTAGACTACTATAATTCTACAACATCAAGTAATCTACGTCAATTTTCAAATTTTCCCCTGCACCAATTGTGATAAACATTTTTTTCATAATAACTGGCTGAACTATTCTTGAGCATCCATCACCATTATGGGACCTCGAGGAATGCTGCATATGTCAGCCATAACCACAAAGAGGGGGTAACTTCCCTTAAAGTATTTAACAAAAGCATCCTTGAACACATTTCAAGACCAGGGAGGCAAATAGTATTCTAATAAGAGTGTCATTTGAAAAACTTCAAGTTCAGACTCACTCACCTTCACGCACATTCTCTTCACTTTGACCTACATACATGTTGATGAGCTCTGGTCCTTTGACACTGCAGGTAAAAAAAAAGTTAAAGAAAGAGAGAGGCATATTACAATTGATGTAAGCAAAGTAAGAGATAGGAATCAGAATTTCATGATAACACAATGTGCCAAAGAGTCAATTTTACTTTAGTTAAAGTTCTGATAGGACTGAAAAATAAATCCTTACTTAATTAATCATGTTAACAGATTTATTCACATGTGATAAATTTGGTAAGGCAAAGATTTTTCTAAGCGTAATTTAGCACTCCCACCCAGCATGAAATGGTTTGTGAACAAGGCAATGAGATTAAACATTACATCACAGGCATCAGTCCCCCCCCACCCGATACTCACCTGAGAAAGTTAAGAGAACATTCTGTAGCTACAGCCTTGGCAAGCAGGGTCTTGCCTGTTCCTGGTGGACCGTACAGCAGCACACCTGAGAGAAGACAAACAAACAAACACATCCATGAACGTATGGCATGTTGCTTTTTCATTGAACCACAGTTAATGACTGTGAGAACATTAACAAACACACACATCAATGAGCGCATGACATGCGGTTATTTCATTGATCCACAGTTAACAGCTGAGAGAAGACAAACAAACAAACACATCCATGAATGCACGATATCAATGTTACTATTTCATAGAGCCACAGTTAATGGCTGAGAGAACACAAACACATCCTTGAACGTATGACATGATGTTATTTTTTAAAAGTTTATTGTCAACTAAGTGATGGTCTAAATCAAATGATTTTATCATTAGAACAACAATGCTCTGTTTAGTTAGAGTAAAGAGAAGTGAATTGTCATGACAATGATCATTTAGTGCAGGGGAAAAGCACAACAGACAGACAGAAACCATAGAGGAAAAGAAAAGAAGTAAGATAAGATTCTATTGAACTCCACAAAGAGAAATTTGCTGCAGCATGGTGAATACATACATGCACTCATTGGACTAATAGTAGCACCCTCTAACTACCTGAGGTACATAGTAATAGTGGAGACCCATCAGAAATAAGGCAACATGAATACTCATCACGTAACTCTTTTCCTACCAGGCCAAAATCCACCACTGGCCCAGGGCCTTTCCCTGGTCTATTTTTACGCCCCTACCCCACAACAGGAAAATGTCAAAACATCCAACTAAACAGACACAAACCATATCATATGGCCCATCAAACTGAAGGTTAAAAAATAATCTATCAGATGGCGAAATAATATTGAAGATTTATTCCAATTATATTAGTTTGGGTTTTCTAAAAGTGATTATGCAATATTGAAGGTGTCATATGAAATCAACAATTTTCCAGCTTTGAAAAGTCATATCTAAAAAAGTACAACAACAGCATCATTCAAACTTACCTGGTAGGTTGCCTCAAGTAATGCAAAGAAAGGCTGAAAGTTAAGTATGTGTACCTAATATAGAAATGAAAATATGAGACATATACTGAAGTCAGGAGAGCGCTTTTCTTCTCATTTTTAGGTTTCAAAGGGGACCAAAAAAAGCGCTGAAATGACTGAAAATCGTCTCTCACTGCTATATTTTTTTTCGTATCTGCTAACAGGAAGTCTATTCAATTATTTTGAAAACTTAGATTGACCCAAAATTTCATTACTGGATTGGAAGAGATAGCGAGCCACTCGAGCCGCAAAATACGGCTCTCGGTCCAGCGAGGCCAGGTCCGCCAGCCGCAAAATGCGGGTCATGGTAGGGAAAGTGTTAAAAGAAGTACAATGCAGATGAGACACATGTAAAAAAAGAAAACAAAATATACATACCAGATCTGCGGAGTCCTGCAGCCAACAGTTCTGGATGCTGCAGTGGTAGCTGTATTGTGTCCAAGATCTCAGACTTGACATCTGCTAGACCACCTATGTCACTCCACTTTACAGAGGGAATCTGTAGAAAGAGGAGCAGCATGAAAATTTACTAGCTGCATGAATATGCCCATAAATATATACAGAGTTGCAAAAGTTCTGTCACACCCATTATATTACGATAATTTTCAGTACAGAGTAAGAATTGCAGTAAAAATTAAAAGTACGACTTGAGTGAATTATGAGACTCCTTGTGCAAGAGCAGACGAAAGAAATCATAAACCAGAAGTAGTGCGTGGACAAACTGTTGGTATTTATTTCTCTAGGTCTACGTTAGTAAACACACCTTACACACTATGAAATTCCGTACTTTTAAACGGTTGGGTACCTTTTCACCTGTTTTTTTCAAAATAAAAAACTGATAAATTCAGAAAATAACGGGGCTATGCGTATGATAAATTCTTTAATTGCGCTTTCTGCTGTTGCAAGACACGTAAAAGTGTGTAGAAAAACCATCTAACCCTTGAACAAACATTTTAACATCACTAGAACTGTTCGAGACAAACCTAGACGTGGCCAACCAAGGGCGACAACTCGACATCAGAATTGGGTTATTGTTAATACTCTTGTTCGAAACCCATTCCAACTAAGTGCATAGACTGTCAGCTACTTCGGACTATCTTAAAACACCATTATTAGACATTTATAATATCGTGGACTTCGTGATTATCTCCCTTTGGGTGGAGCCATTCTTACCCTGTTTCATCGAAGAAATCGCCAAATTTTGGCACAACAACATTGGCGATGAAACTAAAGACGTTGGTAAAGTGTTCTTTTAAGCAATGGTTACGGTTTTTAATTCGTCGTATTGATGGAAGAGAAAAAGTGTTTAAAAGAAGAGGATGGAGATTTCCCAAATCCAATGTCCCCCAAGATGCCCGAATCGGTCGCTGGTATGGGGTGGAATCTCTGCTCTTTATCATACACATTTGGTTACTTTTCAAAGCAACCTCAAAGGACAACGGTATTGTGATGAAATTCTTCGACATGGTGACTGCCCTACATGACACAGATGATGGAACGTGCTAACAAGACTACGCCCGACCACAAATAGCTACGATCAGTGAAAACTCCTTTCAAACTCATTAGATCATTGTTCTGGACTGGCCTGCAAGACCAACAAGCCTTAAACCAACAGAACATCTGTAAGATGACCTTGACTGGAGTATTAGAAACAGGCCGCACTCCGTATAAACTCGTCAGGAACTGAAGACTGCACTTCCCAAAGAATGGCAGAGGATTCTTCAGACAACCATGAGGACATTAATTCAGTCAACGAACAGATGTTTTGTATCAGTAATTCAAGCTGGAAGAGGCCACACGCCATATTGAGCAAACTTTGATTTGGATTTTGCAAGGGTCAGTGTGAATAAAATTATCTCCCTTGAATAAAGAAAGACATTTGTCAATTCTATTCATGTCATGCTGGTAAAAAATGAATAAAGATCTCGAGTACCAAATTTCTCTTAGCTATGTTCAATAGTAAACGAGTTATTGTACTTTTAAGGCAGGTGTGACAGAACTTTTGCAACTCAGTATATATACAAAAAGCAGATTGATGCCTCTGTTGCATGAATTCAGGGTTTGATCTCCTTTCCTCCCCTCCTTCACACAAACACACACACAAACACACACATCTTAGACCATGTCTGTACAGTAATGGTTAGACTCTTTGCCATAGTACACAAAGATGAGAGTTCCATCCCCCACGAGGAAACTTTTTTATAGAACACCTCCATCTTTCTGCTGGAATGTTGTATCCCATTCAGCTTGGGTTGGCCCTGACAGACATGATCCAATCAGTGAGCCTCCTAAAGGATCCTAATTATGCTGAGGAGGACGTAAAACATTTACAATACAATAAACACCCATACACACAAAAAAGTTCCCCTAACAACCCCCCCCCCCCAAAAAAAAAAAAAAAAACAGTACAAAAAGCACCAAAAAAAACACCAAACAAAACCAAAGCACACCTTAGGAGCACCAATACTGTCTGAGTGAGCACTCTGCAGGTTGTCCAAAGCTGCTTCCAGATCCTTCTGCTCCAGGACCACGCCGGCTGTCACAATGTCCTCCTCTAGCTGGAGGCTGGCCGGGCTGCCATCGGGACGGCTGAAACATACAACAAATTTAACGGCTGAAACAAACAGCAAAACAACATACACGCAACAGACAGCTATGTGCTCAGCAAATCATAGACCTGTCACCTACAGAACATACTGTCCGTTATACTATGCACCTTTTTTTTTCACATGCTCCTTTTCTTTTAACTTTGTCGATTTCGTTTGTGGAGAACGTTTCAATGTCACAATTTGCGTCGCCTAGTGTGTTTGGGTTCTAATGCAGTTGTGGGTTTTTTCAACATTTTGCAAACAACTTGAATTTATGGATCTCTTTAAAAATTACGATTTCAAATTGTATTAAAAAAATAATAATAAATTGGTATCCAGTTGTATGCTACCAGTTTAATGCCTGAGTAGAAACTGAAAGGATATTGAGAGGCTGGACCTCAATTTCCAAATATAAATCAAGAGCATTGTGAAAAGTGTTTGCTGATCAGGTTATGCATTGTACCAAGGGGACAGCATTAAAAGAAGCATAAATCTATACCAGTATGGATAAAAGAAAATAACTCACATATCAGTGTATTTTAGAAACATTAACAATGGAACCACAACAATCTCTCTGGCCATAGGATAAACACAAACGCTAAATCCAGGAACAACTCCAGGGAGAGGAATAGTTGCCAGTTAAGGGAGAAAAAACCCAAAACAGTTGAAAAAAAAAGAGAAGAGAAGAACAGATTTGCCTCACTCACCAAATACTAAGAAGTCTCTGATAGTTGTGCCGTTTTGCTTGGAGGACAAGGGCTATGAGATCTCCAAGAACAAAACCCTGTGGAGGGCAACAATAGGCAAATTATTCACTCTCACAAGAAATACATTCAATCACTCATAGCTACCTCGCAGCACTGGAAAAAATTTTGCTCTTCTCCTGTTGGCAGACATAGTATGTCAGCAAACCCATGTCTGTAGTATTGGATCAAAGACACATCTTTTTCTAAAGTTTAGGGTTAACAAAGGTGCAACTGACTAAGATTATTTCAGAGGCACGTCCGAGTATATTACATCCATCTCTAAAAGAACTTAGTATAGAGGACGAAGAGAAATGAAAAATCTTTAAACAACCCAACCAAGTTCAAAACAGACCCACTGGAGATGAAACCAATAGTCTCCACATCATAGTGCAGCATCGGACAAAAAAATATACAAACATTGCAAAAATGAATATTTTTTAAAAATGAACTAAATAGGTAAGGCAAAACATTGGGGGAAACCATTACAAAAGTGAACAGTTTTATTGTACTCATTTCTCCCCCTTTACAAGACAAAGTGTCAGACTGATTTCTCTCTTTCATTCCTACAATCGTTCAACTATGTATAGAAAATCAACCACATTTTCGCCTTTGATACCACAGGACTAATATAAAAGCATTGCACTATGATGATCTACCAGTCTTACTCGGAACGAAAAAAAAACCAAGAGCACAGTATATTGTAAGAATATCTATTCACTACTTTACTAAGCAGCACCTATCAAGACTTTCATCAATAAAAAGAGAGGCTAGAGTATAGGGTATTCATCCCCTTCACCCACCGCTGTCCTCTGAGCAAGATGACTGATGGAGAGGTCAGGAGAGACAGCATAGCTCTCTAGAAGCCCCTGGATTATCTCTCCTCGCTCTTTCTCTGTTGGTGTCTGCACAGAATATGACAAAAACAGGAAGAGACATTAACTAATTGATTGTAATTCAGATTCATAACAAGGGAATAACAAATTCATATCTCTAGAACTCTGTAAGTATAGTTATGTTAGACCTCATTCTTCGTGTACCAGCTCCCCCCCCCCTTCTTTTAAAAATGTAATTGTCTTTATTTTGCCAACCTAGACCTAACACACTTGGTGAACACCAAAGGATATTGGCAGCTGGAGTTTATTTATTGGCCTGCAGCAGATGACGTAAAATGGATGCACAGAAACACATATTCCATTTATGAAGGTAAACTAATGGCAAAGCAAAAGAGCTAGGGCTAAAGTCAATGTAATGGGATGGACCGAGGAGAGAACAGAGAGAGAAGTAAAAATATAACTAAAAGAGGCCTCTGATTGGACTCTAAAAAAATATTTTTTAAAGTCGAAGAGGATAGCAGCAGCTGGCTTTTTGGCTTGTGGCCAAGCACATGGTGAATCTTCATCCTTTTATGTCTACCTATGGCTGGACATTGTAGGCTGTCAAGTCTTCATGAGGACAAAATGAAAATTGAGTTTACTTGAAATGTGTACACATACGGTGTCAATAAAACTTTTAAAAGGAGTCCTTCATCTACATATCTGCATATATATATATAGGTAAGCAAATAAATGCAAGTTGAGCTGCCTTGATATGTATAACAACACAGAGTACTTGAGAAAAAAAAAAGAAAAACCACAGTTAAGCTCATCAAAATGGAAAATATATTGATATCAGAAGCACATCAAATTACAATCACCATAAGATTTTTGCTGAATTGTTCTATTCAACAAGATGTGATTCAATTCTAAACACACATCACAAATGTGGACCAATAGAGACTGCAGCAATGACTCACCAGTAACCAACGCTACATTACCTCAATATTGACTTCATGAAGAAAGCACGGGACCATGTCCTCCGACAATGAGGACTGGGAGTTGGACGTTGCGATCACCACCAGAGGGTGGGTGTGCAGCTCAGAAGCCAGCTGCAGGATACAACGGCTAAAGGCTGAGATGGTGCGGGGGTCTGAAAAGAATGCGATACAGGAATAAAGTCCCCAGAACAAAGGAGGGTAGAAAGATAGAGTAAATGATTAGGAAATACTACCATTAAATGTTAATTGCTAACTCACATCAATTCATTTTGCACCAAGGAAATAAGTGGTGGAGATGAGGAAAAACAGGGGTATAGGGTAAACAATAACAAGATGCTAAAATAAAGCATTAATTCATGTCAAGTCACTCTCTGCCTAAGAAAAAAGGATGCAAAACGAGTTATCAACTCACCTTCTGTTGTTCCATCCCGTTCTTTTCCCACAACTTCAATATTGCGCATCAATACAATGCAAGGAGAGTACTTGCTTGCTGTGAACGCAGAGAAAATAATCAAACAATAACCATCTGTATTCATAAAGTGCATTTTCAGTCGTGGAGTGCTCAGTTCACTTTACAAAAGTGATTCAGTGAACACATGAACCTTTTCTCTTATTCATTTAACCCAGGGCTTTTCGAGGCCTCTCATGACCATGAGAATTGATCACTGAGGTGAGGTTTACTGAGACTAAGCACAACAATAAAAACATTTTTCTATCAACAGATCTGGGAAATCTGAACACTTTCAAGAAGTAAAAACACAGATATGAAACAACTGTAACTTCTACAAAAAGTAATCAAATTCCACATGTATGCAGATTTTTCTCCCCTTGAGGAATGCTTATTTGTAAATTTGTAAACATAAATGCTATACCATACAGATAAATCATTTATATGGGTACAATAAATCTCCTGAACAGGAAACTCACCTGCCAGGAAAAGACTTTTGATGCGAGACTCCGACGCACCAGCAGAATCACCAGAGAGGTCATGACAATTTACCTAAGATACAAAAAAAGTCAGCACATTTATCAATTAAATACCTGCTTGGGAATTACATGGAAGATTAGACTATTATGTATATGACAACTTCTGTAAAACAACAAACAACATTATTAATGAAATAGAACCCCCCCCCCTTCTACATTCATTAATTGGGTACAGTTGCACAAAACCAAACAGAATGTACAAACACAATACAACAAGAATTTACTAATAAATTAATCCTCTGAAAAACGACCTGTAACTCTGCTAGCATTATATTCCCCTGAAAAGTCTTATGATCAATTTAGTTCAGTCAAACAAATTCTAAAATTCACTTCATTTTAAAATTGAAGTGTTCCTTACAAAGAGACCAAAGTACAACCAAAAATAAGGACAAAAAGGATGACCCAAATACCTCCATGACATGGGCGTAGAGTTTTCGAGCCACTGTGTTAATGACAGTTTTCTTCCCACAGCCGCGGGGACCGGTCAAAAGGACCGACGGGCTCAGTTCGATGAGGTTAGTACCATCGTACCTGAAACACAAAGTAAAATTAAAGACTTGGTTTGAAGTGAAAGTCCTGATGAGTCCTGGATAAATTGATAATATACTGAGAATAACAAAATTTGATATCAAATAAACATAAACGTACAATAAAATATGATCTCCGTTTGTTTTAGTAAGGTTTTACGGTGCTTGCAACTGCATAAGGTCATATGAGCGCCAAGAGATGGATATCAACAGAGAAGTCCAAATGGGGAATCAGGCTTACTCTGCTCACCTCTCTGGTCTCAATAGCACAAAGTCGGTTTTGACTATCAAGGCTCCCTGGAAAGAGCAGTTCACAAGAGAGTGACAAACATACAAAAGAAGTAGAGGAAAATGACGATAGTAAGGATGAGGAAAGAAAAAGCAGCAGTTCCCCCTTTATTGTTCCGGCACAGTATGAGCATTCCATTGATAAATCAGTCCATTTACAATTCTACTGTGAATAAGAACATGTTAATATTCCCCCTTTGGGAATGGCCCAAAAGGTCAGCTTCAGTCAGTAGCACTGCCCGGGGAGGGTGGGGGGGGGTGGGGGGGGGTGGTGGTGTGGTGTCTTCATGACATCTGTAGACTGAAATGTGGGTATAAGAAACTTGGGTGTAAAGTTCAATTTTCAAGATTTTTACTTCACAGTAAAACATAGGGTTCATTATATGATTATATAAAATCATAAGATTTCTCTTAGGATCTACAAATCAACTCACACAGAGGAGTTCAAAAGCGAAGAAACAACTTCAAAGAGCCCAACAAGGAAAAATGAAAAAGACAGAAGATCTTTAGTAAAAACAAGAAAATTAAAATAATACAACTCTTTTTGAGAAGCCCCACACCGAAAAAATTATTTGAAAAGTATATAAATATATGAGCCATTGCCAAAACGTGGGGAAAAACACACACATCTCACATTAGTGTGCATAAAATGTGATGCATTAGTCTTTATTCCTCCAAAACGTATACACATGTCAAATATAGGATGTAGAACCTGCGTTAGCAAGATTATAAAGCTGACATAGGGTTTGAAAATTTTGTGCCAAAAATGTCCGTTTTTTAGTGATTCCTGGAGTGTCATTTTGAGCACACCAATGCAAACTTCCAAGAATGTAAAAAATTTAGTATTTTTGGGTGTTTTTTAAAAATCTGTGCTTTGATTCTATGCTATTTGTGATCGAGAAAGGTTCACTTGCTCAAGAAATCGGTTTATTTGTTTGCAAATAAACGAATAATTCGGATCACTTGTGCGTCAGGGGTGTCGTCACGGACTAGGTGTTTCAGAAAACACCATTATTTTTCAGTAGAATCACCACAGCTGGTTAAATCTTTTTGCTTTTCGTCGTTTATTCAATAGTTCAAAAGCCGCGATGCGCGAAAGGAACATCGGGTTCCTAGATCTATGATTTCGGCCGGCTGTTTAACATTCGCCGTTAATGGCGTCACTTTGCGACGTACCGGAAGTCCGAATTTTAGCCTACTTTTGTTTTGAACGGATCATCAACAGTGCCCGGATATAATTGTTTTCTTGAGTGACTTCCCCTTACCCGCCTCCCCAGAACAGCGGGATCAACGGGGTAAAGAGAAAAACGAAAGTAGTCATTGCCGTCACCCTCCGGTTACGCACAAGAATCTTGCGTTGAATGTGACGTACTGGGCTGTTTTGCGTGTTTTTAGGCTACCCTATTGAATATTTTAGTGAAATTGTGGTGTTTACATTGGATTCCTGGAACAAGAGTGTGATGTGTGAACAAACTTCGAGAGATGGATCATTTCTGTGGTTATAGATTTAGCTTTTGTGCTTAGTGATGACGTTTGGGGTGTCGTCATGCAGCCGTACAAGACTGACCGACGTACTAGAAATTACATTGTCCTAAGAGCAAATATTATTTAAGTCATGTGTGCTCTTTTTACTAAAACAAATAGACAAACATGTCCTTGTTTATCTGTCTAACTCAAAAGTACACATTTGTTCTTTGTTGGCATGATATGCCTTTTTCCAATACATTGTGTCTATTGTGTCATCATTGTTATGTACAAGTAATATTTTTCATAATTGCTAATATCAATAAGTTTTCAACATATATTTCATACATGCAAGATTCATTTAGAAACAAAATACGCCTTTATTGATCTTTGTGATCTCATAGTGCAAATGTGTTCTTTGTAGGCATGATTTTACCTTTTCCCAGTATGTTTTGTCATCACTGTTATGTACGAGTACTCTTTGTCATAATTAGCAACGTAATTGTGATTGTCTACTGTCTTTGATATGACTTGGTATCTCTTTCAAAGCAAAAGAAACCTCTCTTGGGTTTTTTTATTCTTAAAGTGCGCTTTTCTCTCTGGAGACAAGACTTTTGTCTTTTCCTGTACATTGTGTCATCATTGTTATGTACAAGTCATGTTTGTCATCACTGTTATGTACAAGTCAGCTCAATTGATTTTGTGCTTTTGCCTCATTTTAGTTTAAAAATTGTTTTACACATGTGTTTTTCTGGTACTGAGGCTTTGATAACTGTATTTTACAGCCTTTCACTATTGTGATGTGTTGTTAATGATAATGTCCAATGTGTATCCTTTCTTGTACATAACAATGATGACATGTTCTGTGCACTGCGTCATTGTTACAAAGCTTGTCATTCATATTACCATTATGAATGGAGTTCATAGTGTACGAAGTCTTTGTTTACTAAACAAATGGAATTTAAAGTCCATAATTTGCTTTGCTGCTTATCTGTTTTTGTCATCACTGTTACATACAAGAAATACAGTAGTTGCCAAACCAATAGACCCATATCTCCAAAACCGTACATCTCCTTGCTCTGATACTCTAGGAATATGAGCACTAAATGTCAATCTGTGACTGACAGAAAAGAGAGTCAAATTGGTAAGAAAATCTTTTTTGCACCACTGAGTCTCAAGAGAGTCTCACGTTTTGGCAATTGCTCATATAAAATGAGCATACTGTGTGGAAAAAGTAATGGACTTTCATTATAATCTTTTTAAACACAAAGCTATCATGCTTATTAGGTACACAGCAATCTTAGAACAGCTTCTGTTTTAAACTGTTAGGCCGAAGCTACTTTTAAAAAGTAATGTTTTGTGATAAGCAATATTAACCGCAATTGAAAGCGCAGTTTCTTCTTTTGTTTCACGGAGGGAAGTTATTGATAATACATACTTCCTGTGTAGATGTGGCAGGACCAGTGTCTCCAGCATGATCACGTACTTCTCCAGCCCCGGGCAGACGATGCTCTGGCCGTACACCGCATCACGTGCAGACAGGTACTTGTTGGCATTCAGGGGGACATAACTGTGATCTGAACCAACCTGAAGAAAAAGTTAAAATGGCACTTAATTTGATGTGAAAAGCAGTGGGCGTGATGAGAGTAAAAAGACCTTGTATTTTCATTTGAATGCTAAAGAGAGAATCTTTAATGAGGAACGAAACTGGGAGGCAGGGAGGGAGGGAGAGAGGGAGAGAAAGAGAGAGAGAGGCAGAGAGAGAGACAGAGAGAGTGTTTTGTCAAGTGTTGGCTAACTTGTGTTCAGAGCACTGACATATCTTCAGGAACAGATTAGGACATTCATAACTCTGAGAAGCAGGAGAAGGAAAAACCATACTACAGTATCCACTACTCATAAATTAGTGTGTGTCTATGCCAGTAAGCATCAACATTTTAGTATTTGTATGTGCCTGTTTACAGGCAGGCTAGTGTGTGTGTGTGTGTGTGTGTGTGTGTGTGTGTGTGCGTGTGTGTGTGTGTGCATGTGCGTGTATGTGTATAAACTCTCACTGGTGTATACTAATCATGCAATACCCTAAACATTTCAAAGGAGAAAATCCCCATGATACAAAAAGAAAGCCAATCTATACCCCTTGCTAACCTGCTTGAGCATGGAATTGTTCACGTCCACATAGTAGGCAAAGACATCTGGCTGGCGTGGCACCATGTTGCTCACTTTGAAGAAAATGACTGGCTTCCTTACTCCTGTGTCCACTTTGGACTCCTGCCAGAATTCTGGATCATCTGATGGCAAAATAAGATTTTTAAAAACTCCCATTATGCTTGCTATGACTCTTAGTTCACATTATCCAGACAAGATTATTCTTTTAAAATAATAATTTTTTTTAAAAGAATGAAATCATTTTTAACTATATGTAAATATTTTTTAAAAATTATTTGAATCATACAATATCAAAACATTTGACTTGCTGTACACATTGCTCAGAAGACATTGACATCTGAACCTGTTTTAGAACAAAGAAGTGCACTTTTTATACGCAAAAGAAAGAGGAAAAGAAAGAACCTTTTTGATTTTAAATGGGAGTTTGCACCTTATCATTTAAAGCCACCACGTCTTCTTTCAAAAATGTATCTTTTGTGTTGATTCTTAATAAACAGTACATGTGGAGAGGTAAATTGACATTAACATTGGCCACAGCTCAGATGTGAGATGACATTACAGGTAAACAAAGGCACCTTCCATCTGTATATAAATCTCAGTTATTTCTTTTCCCATCCTGTGCCACATTGTCACCACAGAGCTTGCATGACACTTTTATGATCAAAGAAATCTAGTGCTCTTTGGCAATATCATTCAAAGTGACAGAGTAAAGGTAAGCAAGGGTATTATGGTCCTTTCAACCTCGAAGTATAACTTTCATGTTGGACGAGACTGAACCAAGAAGGTATGAAGCCTTGAAAACTGACCAAATAATCCAAATTCATGAACCCCCTTTCACGGGCTCAAACTAGAGTCATCCGCATCATAGACCGGTATGAAACACACTGAGCTAACAGCATGCCTTAAAAGTGACACTGTGAGCTTCAGAGTCGCTGACTTGTGATTCATAGTGAGTCAACACAAAAACGGCCATGTTCCCCTACGAATAGATTGTAACAATAATAAAACTAAAAAGGTAGAACAAGCAGACCCAGCCAGAGCATTCCAACCCTAAAAATAAATATAAAAATACCACTGACACTGATTTGCATGTTTGAAAAAATAAAGAGGCCTATAGAAATATAATATACACAAAAATTTTTTTTTTTAACTAATTATATTATATATCTGTCCTATAATGAGACAATAACTAACAATCCTTACCAGCACTGCTGACAGCAAAGACATCTCCAATACTCAATAGTCTGAAGAAAGACAAATACACTAATTAGATATAATATTTATCTTCAGAAAAAAAAAATACTGCTTCCATGCTTTGTCTTTTATCTTAAAATGTTCAAATTTGCGATACATTAATAATAAGGACAATAATCTGTTCTCAGCAGTGTTACAAAAATATTAATTATAATCAGTAAATAACTATACATGCATACAGTACAGCCCGCAATATAGCAAAATCAGCAATACACGAAAATCTTTTCATTATACGAATTTCGCTATGTGTGATGCTTTAAATGCGAAGAAAGATGTCATTAAAAAGTCGGGGCCTGAAAATATTTTAACTGCTGCTCCTTCGACCTAATTTTACATGTGTGGGGAAAATATTAATTATAATCAGTAAATAACTATACATACAGTACAGCCCGCAATATAGCAAAATCAGCAATACACGAAAATCTTTTCATTATACGAATTTCGCTATGTGTGATGCTTTAAATGCGAAGAAAGATGTCATTAAAAAGTCGGGGCCTGAAAATCTTTTAACTCCTGCTCCTTCGACCTAATTTTACATGTGTGGGGAACGGCTGAATGTAAATTGCAGTTACCTTTCCATTTCTAAGTGCAACATTAAGGACATCATTACATAATCTATTAGAGTGTGTTTTTATCCTGATTTAGTAATAGTAGAAAAGAAAGGTGTAGCATGGAAATTAAGAAGTCAAAATAAGCTAGGAAGTTAGAATGCTGGCACATCACTGCCTTCAACTTACAATCTTCAAATTAATTTAAAGAAAATAAAACACTACAGGGATACACCAAGCACATAACATTTTAAAAGAATTTTTTTTAAAAGTGTTATAAAAGAAGATATGAGAAAAAAATGATGTCCAGCTTTGGTTCCAAAAGGCTCCATTCAAAATCAAATCATCAAATTATGCAATTAAAAAAGATTACAACTAGAGACAAACAGTGCCTTTAAAACAATTTTGACTGTTTAAAACAATTACCTTGGAATCTGGAAATACTTGTTGAGAGATTCCACATGGTTTGCCTTAGGTGTGTAGCTTGGAGAGCTGATGATTGTGATGTGAACTTCTGTGGCAAAGGGTACACTAGTGCTGACTGATCGAGAAAGCTTTTGCTTGAAATCTATGTTTGAGCCACTGTTACTCAATGGGTTGTAAGGCTTCTGGAAGATGAAAAAAAACATCCAGAGGAGAATATGACATAAAAGATGATTTCAATCCACTCTGAACATACAGTTGAGCATGAAAGTGAAAGGCAGAAATACATAGGATAAATACAGCAGTAAATTTATACTGTCTGATATGTTTCAACAGACTTTCTGAATGACATTTTTTTTAAAGTTTCGTCAAATGCAGAGCTATGCTTGAATCTGAATGTAAGAACACAAGTTTGTACTGAATTAAGAAATTACACAGAAATGTAGGGACTGAGGGACAGATGAAACAATGAAGAGGCCTGGTATTTTATAAAAACAAATAATTTTCCTTTATTTCTAAAAAATATGCCTACTACACATGTCATTATACACATGATGTGTTCACAATTTGATATATTTAGCTTGCTCTACTGTTCTCTCTATAATTACTGTGCCCACACTGATCTATGTGTATTCAATTACCCTTTCCTACACCCCATTTCTGCCTGAATACCAGTCATTTCGTCACACAGTCATTTCGTCACACCGGTGCAGCCAAAACGTTACAGTCATTTCATCACACCCACCTCAAATCCACAAGGTTAAATGGAGACGGTCATTTCATAGCACATTTGCATACATCAAACGTTCATTGTCATGGCAATCATAAATCACAAATTTTGGGGGAGGGTTGGGACTGGGTGTGGAAGTACAGGGGGGAGGGCTGTGCGAGTCATTGTGCCTACCTGATCAGCTACACCGTACATATATGTACTGACAATACGAAATCTATCGAGTCAGATCAACAAAGTTTTTAGGTATTATTATTGATGAAAGGTGTGATTGAAAAGATCATTATTAGTTGGGTCAAAAATAAATTACAAATAGAAATGTATGGTACTGCAATTTTGCTTTAAAAGCTAGACCTTTACTTTCAAACAAAGCCTTCATTAACTCTTTACCAGACATTGTTTTTACCTTATTTAAACTATTGTTCAGCTATGGAACACTTTGGACGAAGATTTAATTGACATTAATAATTTATAATAACTTTTTTAAAAGCTTTAATTAATTAGACTGATCCTCCAAAACTCTTTCAAGCATATAACAATTTTGGAGAGATTTTAAGTAAAGTCATTTCGTCACACATAATTGGGATGTGACGAGATGAGCGGTTACCGTCTCCCTGCCCCAAATACAGGATCTTGGTTATCAGCTGATGTCTGAACAAATACGAAACCAGTCGTGTCTCATTGTTATTATACAGCAGGTGAGAACTACTGTGGGGCTGTCACATGACCAAAAAATGTTATATATATACACACATGATATCATACAGTATAATCCGCTTATATATCGACAGGCTTTGGGAAGTGGATTTGACGTCCATATTATAAAAATGTCGAATGAAAATATAAAGCCAAAGAGGAAAAAACAAGGGGAGGTCAGCGGTAAAAAGACAACACTACTTTTTAAAGTTACTTGCTTCCCTTGATTCTTATAACTACACAGTGAAACTCACAAGAGGCAGAGCGGAGGGGGGGTTGGAGTTAAGGTACCAAAGACCAAGCAATACAAGGCGCACACTACACACCAACGCAAACTTTGTTGTAGCATCCTTGTAAGGCCTGTTTATGGCCGCTTGCTGGGAAAAATGAAAAGGCGAGGCACTGACTCACTGACCGTGGCACTTGCCAGAGACAGACTGAGAAAGGAGTGGGGAACGGGAGTGTGCGATCGGGAGAGGGGGTAGGGAAGTAATGCCCAGCGCACAAGACGCTCACGTCTGTGAGGCACTGCATTGTGTTGGAGACTACACTACGTAGGCCCTACATGACCTACTAAAGTCTGGAGCGCCGAACATAGGCTACTTGGCGTGTATGCAGAGTTAATGAAGAACTAATGCGTTGACCGCTAGTATGGCTTTTTCCCCTCATATGTTCGTGGGCTTCACCAGGTACCCAGGAAACATGTTGATAAAGTAGAATGGGCCGAAAAAAAGTCGATATACGAGAATTTGTTTTGTGAAGATACTCTGAAGGAAAAAATTCGTAATTGGAAAATATGTTGATATAATGTCAGAATGTCGATACATCCGCTGTCGATGTAAGTGGATTATACTGTATGTTTCACAGTGATGACTTACTTCAATAATGAGCAATGGTGATTTTACAATTGGTGGTCCCTTCTGCAAGTTGAACAAGAGGATTGAAGATATAAAAACATTGTCTGACTCATCCAGTTTTTTGGTTAAACACTGCACTTTCACATATTTCTGAATGGGCTTTTCTTGTTTCAAGAATTTTTGTGCGTCTTCAACTGTGTTTTCACCGAGCAGATCTCGGGGGTACAAAGCAATTTTCACGATGGTTCCATTCAGAATTCCATACTGCCTTAAAAGTTTCTTTGGCATACCAAGAACTGAAGTCAAATCCAAAATAGCAGAATCTTCATTCTGAAGCAGAATTTTGCTCCAGTGAATGCCTTGTTGAATGACAAGAGCACTACTTAGGAAAAAGTTGTTGAAGCTGACATCTGACTCCTTCCCAAATATTCCTTGGTCATCTGAAGACTCGCCAGACATAGACCGGCAAAAGTCTGACATGAGTAGTTTACTGCTGTGCAAATCCACATACTGATCCAAATGTGAACCAGACAAATGCCTGTGGTCTGAGGGCAGGCGAGTGATTGCTTTCTCAAAATAAATAATGATCTCTGTAGTAGCTGTGATGAGCCCCATTTGAAAAGGGGCACAGGCAATCGCCTTCACACTGAAAAACCAGGATGGATGAAAGTTATCATCTGCCAAGAATAATTCTGGAAACGGTGCAAGAAGTGCGTCATTTTGTCTAATTAGCAAGTCGTGATTGCAGATTTCTTTTAACAAGCCAGCACTGAATTTATCCTGGCGAACCCACTCATAAGCATCTTCATCTGAGACTGAAAAAACAGCTTTGGTCAGTGGAAATACTTCAATCCCTCTGATGTAAAGGACATTTGAAGCATTAACATCATAATGCGAAGTGAATAGTTCGGTACAATACAATTTTATTAACGGTTCAGGATCAGAATTGAGGTCATCATCACTGCTGTCGTCATCAATAGAGAGAGAATGTGATGAATTCCAAGAATCTTTGGGAGATTCCTCTTGAAAGGGCGAAACATCTTTAGCAGAGACGCACACAATTATGTCCTCTGATGATACAATACTGGCCGACACAGCAGGTTTCACGGACGACCGGCTGTCTGCTGATGAAGAAGGAGAAGAACCCGAAGGAGATGATACAACAGAGTTGACATTTGAATTCAAAGAAAACGGGGCATCTCGCTTTACACGAATAGCACAGACGAATGTGTTGTCATCATTAGTCTTCTTTAGCATAGGGGCGTCATTTGTTGATATAAGCAGATGTAGAGGATTGATTCGTCTTTCAAACTCTTTCAGTACGATTAAACGGGCAGCATAGCTGCGCCTGAATTTCCCTATCCCTTTTTTCGTTGAGGCAGCCATTTGTAAACAAGTTCCTGGACTTTTGACTTTGCATCCAGATTTAAGATGCTAATGAAAAATGTGGCTAGATTTGGTCCGTTCGTTGTATAACTGGTGAATTACTATTCACGCATCTACTCTGGTGTCATACCTAATCTAAATATTCCAAATACATACACCACCATAGAAGTATTGGAAAATAAACGAAATAGAAATACAATCACGGAATGGGAAATAAGGTGAGGTGAGTTTTTTTTTGGAAATGCTTTTTCCTCCAATGTGGACACATCATTCCGGGATTTCCCAATTTGTATATATAAATGATTTTTTCTTACAAATGAGCAAAATCTACAATCAATACTTCCGGCTTCCGGTTGAGAAAAACGAAAGTGCTGAAGTTTCGATATTGAATACAGTCCATGCAAAAAGAGTGTGTTGGTCTTTGATCTGATTCCAAAAGCTGCTTTGGTGTCCTGCATTATTTTGCTTTCGTAAGCGAAAGAAAATAAAAATTGGACAATGAAGTAAGTAAAAATTATTGAAATGCTGATCTTGTTTCAAGGTTTAGGCTAAGTCACCTCTATTGAGAATAGTGCAGGCGAGTCTTGTGGCTATTCTCACCCGGTGCGCGTTCACCAAATTTTGCGTGCACCCTAAACCACAGAATTCTACACTGTGATAACAGAAAAATTGTAGAATTCTGTGCCGTGAACAAACGTTCCATTACAACTGTAGCCTACTAGAATCTAGAGTAATCGTACCGGTTCGGGCAGCAAAAGAGTGGCACACAAACCTAAATCAACCTCCCTTACTTTCGTTGAAACAACAGTTACGGCGATATTTTGCTAAAAATAGAGTCCTTAAGTTTAAGACAGCTTTTTCTTCATCAACTGAGCAAAACAGCGTGAAGCTCTTTCCCCGGAAGAGTTAACATTGGTTGTGGATGAAGGAGCCTGTGACCTAGATTCTACGTTTTGGTAGACTCTGAAGGCTGGAGTGTTATTTGCATATGAGGCCCTGTCAAGGATGAAAGAGAATTTGCCGTTTAGTCTCGCCGTTTTTGCCCAAAGGGGGGGTGCCCGGATTGTAACATAAAATCCGTAGTTTCTCATCCTTCGGGCACATAAGATAATATAGAGCCAATGGTTATATAACAAAGAATAAAGAATTTGTGCATAATTTAAAAATAATAGTAGAGTCAGATACAGCATATTAACTCAGTCAGACACCAGTGTAATAGAGTCAGATACCAGTGTGTAATACAGTCGGATATCAGTGTAGCCGAGTCAGATCCAGTGTAGTTGAGTGAGCCAGATGCCAGTGTAGTAGAGTCAGATACCACGTAGTAGAGTGGGTTAGATACATACTCATTAAAATAGCTATAAATGGTGAATACCACTTTAGACAAACTATCATTGTGTGCAAGTGTTGATAACAAACATTAAAAATCATGTTATTAAGCTTGCAAAGAAACAAATGTGATAATAATTGAAAATGACCGAATGTCAAAATACTGCCCGAATCCATGAGAAAACCAAAAAAATGCGACCGAACTCGTAAATAAATCGGGCGTCACTTTTGCACCCAGTTAGGGCCTCAAACATGAGAACAAGCTGAAACAGGTCATTTCTGGGGTCATCCAATCACATGACTTCCTGTAGCTGGTTTCGGTTTGTCTCTAGGGCAAGGCAGATAGGAGATATAAAGCTTTAAAGTCGACGTGCCTGTTTTCGTCCTTATTTTGACCGAACCGGTAATATTACTCTAAAAGCGTACAATTTTGTCTGTGGGCAGTGGAGAGAGAGAGAGAAAGAGAGAGAGGAGTAGCGCGAGAATTTCCTGGCAAAACAAAATGGCGACCCGCGTAGTTCGCCTCGATTCGAAAAGTTAAATAGCCGTAGCATCTATGTAGACAACCAAATTAATTTACTTTTGTGTTTTAACATCATTTTTTAAACTTTGTTTTGGTCAATTTGATCGTCCACACCGATAAACAGTATTCAGAAAGAGACAGAGAGAGAGAGAGAAGAGGGGAGGAGTTGATCTTGCGAGAACTTCCGGGCGGGTGAGAATAGCCACTTTCATATCTAGATCTAGATCGAGTGCCAGTCTAAGCCGTACTTAGATCTAGATCTAGGTTTGGCCCTATCGACTCAAGCCAGTTAAGTACACAGGTCTCATTAGATTTAGACCTAGATCTAGATCTAGATCAAATAATTATTCAGGTTCAAATACATGCAAGTCAGTAAGGCACCTTTTGGTTTTGTCTGAAGTACAAATACTTTAGGCATTGCAAACTAAAAAATTCATTTACAATTCAGCCATCAATATTAAGTACGGCTAGCCTGACAGTCTAGCCGTCCTTAAGTACGGCTAGCCTGGCTGTCTACCCGTACTTAAGTACGGCCAGAGAGGGTTTACAGTAATAGAGAGGTGACACTCGTGGCGGCGCTCCATAACAACAGTGCATTGTATCGCGTATCGCCCGGCGCGGGGCGCGAAAACACTTACGCGCGGTGATCGCTGCCACGGCGATGCTCAGGGAAGCTGTCATGTCATGAGAAAATGTAGTACCGTCTGTAGTTAGTTCACTAGGTTACTAGGCCTTTAACTTTAACAAAGAAGGAGGCCTGTGATTTCTATCGCATATTTTAGGCAACCCCACCTCCCTCGACCTTTAAGTTAACATACATTCTAATAATCAAATAGACGCAGATACATTACTTCGTCTCTATAGATCTGAAAAAATAATATCACCGTAAATAAAGGAATAATCGGCAAATCTACTCGTTCTCCAGTGTCCCTCTGTCATCTCTCTCTCCCTCTCTGTCGGTCTGTCTGTCTGTCTGTCTTTTTTTCTCCCCCTGTCTCTTTTTCTCTCTCAGTGTCTCTCTTTCTCCCTCCTCTCTCCCCCTGTCTGTCTGTCGGTCTGTCTGCCTCTCTCTCTCTCTCTCTCTCTCTCTCTCTCTCTCTCTCTCTCTCTCTCTCTCTCTCTCTCTGTGTCTGTCTCCCTTTCTCTGTCTCTCTGTCTCCCCTCTCTCGCTCTGTCTATACATGTGTCAATCTGTCTATATATGTCAATCTGTTTCTCTGTTTCTGTCTGTCTGTCTGTCTGTCTGTCTGTCTGTCTGTCTGTCTGTCTGTCTCTCTGTCTCTCTCTCTCTCTCACACACACACACACACACACACACACACACACATAAACACACACACACATATTATAATATTAAATTCTCATAATTTCAGATCATGGAAAAGCACATGAAGCGATAGATGTACCACTTAAGGAGTTTAATAGGATCCCCAACACCTTCCATCTCCCATCCCATCCCCCCCCCCAAAAAAAAGTGGTAATCGGACAAAGAAAATAGCAAAACCGATCGATTGCACTTTGTATTTAGACATCTTTTCGCAGATCCAGGTAACATATCTTTCACTAGTAGTAGTAGAATGCAAGCTCAATGTGGGCATTTACACAGGAAAAAAAACAACAACCCTATTTATAGCTGATGTAACAAAGCTGACGTGTGTTGAGTTTTTGCATGGAGTATCAGTCTGATAGGACCACAATCACGTTGTCATTATTTTTATCTAAATTTTTCTATTCATCAAAATATATTCGTCATCCTTTGGAAATCGAAAGAAACTCAGATTTTAATTCTAATAGGTGCAGTTTATAGTAGAACGCCATTGACATTTCGTGCTAACCGCGGCCATGCTTGTCTGCAATCAACGTAAATGCCTTGAACAACGGACGCAGTTTGTTTTGTTTACCGCGCGTTTCTCCACGATCAGCTGGTGACCCAGATACGCGCATCCGGGCGAAGTGCTGTCTCTCTAGTATTACTGTAAACTCTCTGGTACGGCTAGACTGCCAGTCTAGCCGTACTTATCTTAGGCCCTATTAACATTAGAAAACTTGAGGTTTAAAATACTTGCACAGTCATTAAGGCACCTGGATTCGTCTCAAGTACAAATACTTTAGGTACTGCACACTAAAAATTTATATTTACAATTCAGTAGGCCTATTTTTTTTTAAATGGTCAGTCTTGCCAACATATTTAGAATAAGTAGTCTAGCCGTCATTAAGTACGGCTAGCCTCTTCCAAATTTCATTTACAATTCAGCCATCATTATCTTAGTTTTAGGGCCTATTAATATTAGAAAACAAGTCTCATTAGATCTAGATTTAGTAATTATTCAGGTTTAAAACACCATATATATATAGTAAAAAGGATTTTATTGAACTGTTAAATAATTTTATGCTGATCACAGATTTATCTGATCTTTTTGATGTACATACAAATAATAACATGATGTTGTGTTTCTCTGACTTTTTCAGGCTCAATGTTGATGGCCTACTTGTTTACTTCCCGTATGACTATATCTACCCGGAGCAGTTCCTGTACATGCAGGAACTAAAGAAAGCTCTCGATGCTAAGGTGAGTCCTTGACCGGGGTAATTCAGAAATTTCAGAAATGTCTTGTCATACAGAGCAAAAGAGAGGGAGAAGAAGGAAAGGAAGAGAGGAAAAACAAGGAGTGAGAGTAGAAATGGGAAAGTGAGAGAAAGAGAAAAATAAACTGGATGAATGAGAAATGTTCACAGACAACCAAGACAATGTAATTGATAGATGATACCATCTTATACTGATAGTAATACACCTCTTTTTTTCCATTGCCTTTCTGTCCTCCTTTTTTTTTTCCTTTTTTTTTTCCCCGTGTCCTGATTTTGGTTCCCATATTTGTTGGTTACATAAAAATGTATTGACAGTGCAAATTGTTATGTTTTCTAGAAAAACGAAACAAGAAAAAGGGGAATTGTTTAGTCGGTGGTGATGGTGAGGGTGATCATGATGATGATGATTGTTTACGGTGACAATGACAATGATGATGCTCTGATGTTGAAAATAATGTGCGTATTAGTCTAAGTGTTAAGTGTGTTTTTTTTGGTTTTGTTTGGCGCTTACTCTTGATCCCCGCCAGGCTGTCTTGGGGGGCAGGACAACCCTCATTCCCAACTCCTCGCATAGAGTGACCTAAAATTTTTGCTCTTTATTTACTAATTCCTAACACTATTCTATTTTTCTCTCAACTTCTTTCATCTTTAGCCTTCATCTTTGTGGTAATTTTATGTGTGCTTATTATTAGTCAGTATGTACGTGTTGTATCTTTGTGATGCTTGTAAGTGTTTATTTAATTTTTTATTGTGTTTTTCCAATTGCAAATTGTGGTTTGTGGGTGGTTGATGGGTGCTCTGGTGTGGTTTGCTTCTTCTTTCCTTTCAAACGTCTATTGTCTCTATCTCTCCCCTCCTTCTTTTTTGTGTTTGTTACTCCCTATTACACCTCTATTCATTGGCACTTATATGACCTCATTGTGTTGCAAGTGCTGTAAAACTCTTACTAAATCTAAACTAAATTGTTGTTTACTTTCGCAGGGTCATTGTGTGCTGGAGATGCCCTCTGGGACAGGGAAGACAGTCTCACTCCTCTCTCTCATCATTGCCTACATGAGGGTGAGTGCTTAAATATGGCAAATTTTCTTGTTGCCTCTCAGTGGAATGAGCTCCTTCTATAAATTTATTTCCTTCTCTAGACAGAGATTCCTGTCACACAGGAAAATGCATAAGTCCTGTGAGTGAAGGCCCTCCAGTTTCTTTATATAGTTCTGCACTTGCAGCAGTTTTAGCTGGCAATGTTCCTTTCAAGGGGTCATCATGAAGGCATCTAAATCTATGCTGTATAATATGCTTAGCATTCATGATAGCATCATGGCATTTGACAGATGAGGAAAGAATCCATGTACTATTTTCTGATTACTGACCCAATATTAAGTTTTATTTGTCTGTATAGTTTTAAATAAGTTTTATCTTCAGAACACAAAAGAAATATTGCCATGAATATACACAAACACATAATAGAATAGATATTAACACAGAGAGAGAGAGAGAATCTTAATTATATTGCACAAAGAATTAAATCATCCTTACTGATGAAACAGCAACACTGACATAATGTTCAAGGTTATTATGTATTGCTTGTCGGTTGTTGTGCTCTTGAGAACCTTATTCAGCATTATATTGTAATAAGTTCAAATGAAATTCTTGGTTGCCTGTGCAATGAATTGTTTAGCTGACATTTTATTTCCTTAGGTGAATCCATTGGATGTTACGAAAATGATCTATTGTTCCCGTACAGTTCCTGAATTGGAAAAGGTAATTTTTTTACTGTTTCATAAGTTTTTATTACTTCTACTCATGTCAGTGATAGTTTTTTTTATAATCATGAAGTAGGAAAATAAAGATAAGGGAAATGTAAGTATTTGTATTTCGTAGGTGGTCTAGTAGTTAGGCTACCAGACTCGTAATCGTTAGGTTGTGGGTTTGAGGGTTCGAGCCTCAGGTTCCATGTTGTGTCCTTGGGAACGGTTGTTTACATAAATTTTCTTCACTTCACCCAGGTGGGAATGGGTACCTGACAATACAAAGTAAAAAAACTTGTTAGTGTATTAGTGTTTTAGTGCCTGTAAAATGACAGCTTGCCCTGTATGCTTCCCAGGAAGATGAGATTGTTTCAGAATCCTATCAGGTCTGCTGGGGTAATGATAGTACAGATTATAAAGCGCATTGAGTGGGAATTAGCGCTATGCAAATTATGCTATCTATTATTGTGTGTGTCTTTGGCAAGGAATTAAGGGGAAAGAGAAGAGGAGGACACAAAGGAGTCTTGATCATATTAGATGTGTTGAGTAAATGATCATTATTTTTAGACTTGATAGAAGTAGAAAAATGGGTGAGACAAGAGATCACATTGAGTTATGAATGATTTTTGTTTTTGAAGTCCCATTGTGTATGATTAATGAACAGTAGAATTGAGTGTCTAAAGAGAATTTGTTTGTTTGTTTTGCCTGTTCAATTTAACATCAGTCTCTTTTTTTATGAGGAACACAGGGTATTTGACATTCAAAAGTGACTGTCTATACCCAAATTTTTTGTCCTGCTCTGTTGAGTTGTGAAATTTTTTTCTTTTGTGAGAGACCCCTTATATTTAAAGTGATGTGTTACAATGTAGGTGGTGATGAGGGACAGCTATATTATGTTTTATATTTACTTTGAGAGCTTAGAGGGAGATATTTAGTTTAGTGTACTATTTTTATTGGATTTGTTGCACTTAATTTTTCAACCTCCCTCTCAGTCACTTCTTTTCGGATAGCGTAAATGCAGCATGTTTTGATGTCATGTTACAGATTTTTTTTCCCTTCATCATTTCTAGAAATTCATTAATCTTGTTGTCTCTCAATACTCTCATGTTTTCATGCCTTTCTTGCCACAAGTAACTTCTGTTTACATTAAATCACTATTACAGACTCTTACGTAATTAAGTTTTCTTTTTGTGTCACTGTAAGACACTTGGGCTCTGTATTCTCCTTTCTGCATGACTATAACTTATACTATAAGAAATGTTTGCCTCGTGAACAGTGTGATTTGCGTGAGTCATGTTTTTGGTCGGACATTGTGATTGCAGTTGTATTTTTTCTTCTTTTCCAGGTTGTGGAGGAGATGCGAGGTCTGATAGATTACTACATACAGGAGACAGGGGAGGTGCCCAACTTTGTGGGTCTGGCTCTCAGCTCCAGGAAAAACATGTGTGTCCACCCAGAGGTAGGTTACAAGCAGATTGTGTCTAATATTGTTATGGGGTGGGGGGAGGGGGATGACAGGTCTAGTGTAAGGCAGTCAAATAATCTTGATAATAACTTTGTAATGCTAATGAAAATGTTGGTGATAATGATACAAACAACACTATTTGATGATTATTATAATTATCACAGTGCAGATGTCAGTAATTACGGACTTAAGCTTATAATATGGGCACAACTGTTTGAGACAGGCAAATAAAAACTGTGATGGAAGTAAAGAAATACTCGCCAAACTGACCTCTGATCTTTCCCTACTATGAAGTTTGTTGTTGTTGGAATAAATGGACCAATCTTAAAACTACTATCTGTGTATTTTTTTTTCAAACGTGTAGCAAAATGCGTAATGAGTTCATAATGATTCCTGCAGGTGAGCCAAGAGAGAGATGGAAAAGTTGTAGACGGCCGATGCCATCAGCTGACAGCGTCTTTTGTTCGCAACCGGCACAAGACCAACTCCAATGTGCCAATCTGCGACTTCTATGAGGTATGGATGCTTAGTTTTCCGTTCCTCTTGGGGTGGCTCATTAGCCTGGAGGTAGGATGCTTGCCTCCCAAACCAAAATATACAGTCAAACCTGCTTTAAGTTAACAGCTACCTGTCCAAATCAATCACCAGTTGAAAAGATCACTTCTCACTTAACCCCTTGCTTTTTATTTTGTTATAATGACACTGTCCAAGATAAACAACACTGAATAGGAAAAGTGGCTATCTGCATAACAATTCAACTTCCTCTGAGTTCGAGTTTGAGAAGAAAAAAAAAGAAAAGGGTTATGTTACTTATTTCTTTAATTCTTTCAGTTATTGGTGCTTCTCTTTTTCCTCACATATTTTGGTCTGATACTCTTAAGCTGGCTGGCCATTTCTGTTTTGTCAAGCAGAGAGCCTTTCAGACTGCTGATTTCATTACAGACATGATGTTTCAAAATACAAAAAAATACCTTCTTCCCTTCTACTGAAGTTATTATTGTTAACTGTTTGTTTTCAACAGAACTTTGATGCCCATGGTCGCGAGACACCTTTGGCTCCTGGCGTTTATGGACTTGTGAGTTGTTTTTGCTATCGTTATGTGATGCTTATTGTATTGAGATCCTTCCCACTATCTTTGCATTTTTTTTCTTATTAACCTATTTGGTTGGTTCATTGAAAGTGTCATAAGAGAAATTGAGACACATGGTTTTTGGGTTGTTTGGGTTGTGGTTGGGGGTGGAGGGAAGGTAATGAGAATATGGTCGCTTTTGAGGACAAGTGGGCTAACCCAGATTTCGGTGGTTTCCAAAAGTGGGCATTGCCCTACCTATAAGAGAAGTTTGGTTTCATTAGTTTGTATATTTGTTTGTTTATAGAGAAAACTCTCCCTGTCTTTTGAAGGAACTGAACAAGGGGCAAGAACTTTACCTTCGATTTTCTCAAAACAGCTTTTTTCTGGATAACCCTGTTGTGCTTAAAAGCGACCATATTAGATACGAGATACACTTCGAAAGAATTCATGAGAAATTTAGAATTGTGGTCGCAATACCTGTAGTGTTTATTAGAATAGTTTATTACTGCTAGAAAAGGGTCCTATGATAGCTATTATGTATTTCTATGAAAAAAAATTGACATTTGGGAAAACAGAGGACTTGTCTATGAATAAAGGGTATTGGACAGGGCTTGATATTATTAATAGTTTCCTTTTTAGCTGTGAAGCTTTGACATTTTTGTTTCAATCATAGTGAATGCAGATGGGTACATTTTGCAGAGTGTAGATATGAAAAACAGACCGAACCAATACTTAACAAAAACAAAGGAATGACTCTCTGAGGTGATATTATATTTCCCATTTATATGGTTCTCCACAGGATGATCTACGCCAGTTAGGCCGACAGGCTGGATGGTGCCCTTACTTTCTTGCCAGACATGCCGTAAGTAAAGTCCTCAAGTTGTAAATTTTATCATGACCATAAGCCATAAGTATTGTCCTTGAGTTGTAAATAACGACCTCGAGCTGGAAATAATTATGACCGGAGCTGTAAACAAACACTTTAAACTGTAATCTTTTTTTGCTGCCTCTATTGTAGTGGGATATGGTTTGGTGATTTTGATTGTTTTGTAACTTGGCTTGCCACTTTTACCAAAATCTCTATAATTTCTGAAACTTGGAGTATGCCAGACTTACTGTTTCTTGTATAGCTGATTACAAACTCCCTTTTGTAATGATTGTGATGTCAACATTCCATTCAGCAACTTGAGAATGCGCTTGTGCTGTTGTCAAATTTGGTGATGATTTCTGTGATTATTTTAAAATCTTTAAATATGGTAACCTGGCAAGATGAGACAAACAGTTCAAATGTAATCATATTTTAAGGGAATGTATGAGGAAATGTAATATGGTAACGTTTTAGAGTTATCAGGCCATTAAAGCTTCTCACATGTGAGGTAAATTATAAGAATTGCTACTCGTTGGACCAGTAGAATTGTTTCTTGTTTCAATCTAACAGTGTGCTGTGTTAATTTAATTCTTTTCTCAAAATTTTGATGAAATAAATATGTACATGCCCATACTCACTCTGCAGGTGGCTGGAAGATGCCACTGGTAGGTTCTACTTCTTTATGTGATGTGATGGCTCTCTTGTTCACTCCTACCATTAAGTGACTGTTATTATGTGAATGCCCTTTACTTTACTCAAACTCAAACTAAACTTAACTCCAACACTCGGTCACTCTTAACTTCTCCACAGATGGGTCAAGCTCACGTGATTGTGTACAGCTACTACTATCTTCTTGATCCCAAAATCGCAGAGATGGTGTCGAAGGAACTCTCAAAGCAGTCGGTTGTTGTGTTTGATGAGGCTCACAATATAGGTAGAAACAAAACATGATTATTTTTATTGTGAATCAACTGTTTTAATCATAGAAGGTTGCTGAACATGGCTTTAGATATTTGAAAGAATCAGTGAAGAAATTATTTTCTGAATAAATTTCAATAGTCAATGAATTCTTTTGAAAATAGATCAGAAGGGAAGGGATATCTCTTTCCAATATGAAAAGTCATCATCATCATCAATGCCTTTCACCCCTAGCAGGGTATAGGCCACATACAAGCTCCTTCCATTTATCTCTGTCCTGAGCCATCCTTCCAAGCTCGTTCCAAGTGAGCTTCATTTCTCTCATGTCCCTTTCCACGCATCTCCTCCATGTTTCCCGTGGCCTACCCCTGCCTCGTGCTCCTTGTGGGTTCCACTGCAGTGACTGTCTTGTGATATTTCCGCTGGGCTTTCTTAAGGTGTGTCCCATCCATCGCCACTTTCTTAGTCCTATTTCTACTTCTATATCCTTTTGTCCTGTCCTTTCCCACAGTTCTTCATTTCTTATTCTATCCTGCCACTTGAAAAGTGCTATGTTCATAATAATTTCTTAGCTCATGGGTTTTAAGAACGTTTAGTCAAAAGCCCCAGAGATTTGACCAAAAATTTGCTTCTGAAGATGATCAAATGATCTGAGAGAGAAAGGTTGTTTTCCAATGGTTTGTTCTACTTAAACAAAATTTTTGGTTTATTTGGCCACCTTGTAAACTCTGAAAAAGTGTGGTTTGTATACAAAACATTGATCTGTGTCTGTATCATGTTAACTTAATGCTCTTGAATGATGTCACTTTGGTATGTTATGTAGTGAGCCATTTTCTTGTTGTCTTTCTTACCCAGACAATGTATGTGTTGAATCAATGAGTGTGAAGATCACCCGTCGAACAATTGATAAATGCAACCAGAACATAGATGACTTGAGCAAACAGATTAAAAGGTAAGTCAATGTTTTCTAGATTTGATACAGACTCAATTCACATGCCATGACAGTAGCCATTTATGCTCTTAATTTGTTCTGCCATTCTCAATTTTTTTAGCTAACTAATATCTCTGGTTGTTGCAAAATATAAGGCAGTCTGACAGAGACTTTGTCAACACCACTGTCAAGAATAAAACATACAGACAGTTGGGGATCTGCCTGATGTGAAAACAGATGTGGCTCTCCGGAACCAAAAAAAGACAGCTGGCACAAACATAATGGAACTGTATACTTTTTCTTTGTCAAAATTTGGACAGGGATGAGTCATCTTATGAGCTTACTCAAAATTTCCCCCTGGCATGGTTTTGACCAGATTACTCAACAGCCAGCGAAGTTTCTACAATGGTTCAGCTTTCCTTGTCGTGCAAAGTTTTCTCAGCTGGCAGTTAAAAAATTCTGATATTCACAGCTCAAGATCTACTTTCTTCTTCTTCCTTGTTCACTGCTCATAAAATGATTCTCTTATTGACTTCCTTAAGCTCCATCCCCTTAATAAATAAATAAATGCAGTGCTATTCCCAGGGTCTTACATTTGGAGATCTTTAGTTTTTCCTTCAACTTTGTTTCGATTAGACTGTCCTGCTTTTCCTAGTGTAGTGAATGTTCAGCTTTTAAGATGTCTTTGTTTCACAGTCACATTATAGGCTGGCCAATTTTGAATTCATCAAATACAGTTGAAATTGTCCAAGATAGCCACCAATTGTTGAAGGGAAAAATGATTGTCATAAATAGGTGGACATCTTGGACTGTCATTTTAATGTAGAAGAAATGCTGGGGGGGGGGGGGGGGGGGGGGGGGGGTGGTGGCATTTTCCACTTATTCATGTAGCTGTAGTTTTTTTTATACCCTCATATTATTTCTAGCTTTCCGTTCACCCTTTTTTTTCTTCAGAGGCCATTCCTGGAAATATTCGCAATGCAGAACACTTTGTAGGGTTCATGAAGCGTTTTGTGGAATATCTCAAGACGCGGTTACGAGTGATGCATGTGGTGTCTGAGAGTCCCCCGTCCTTCCTCAAAGACTGCCAGTCCAAAGTCTGCATCGATCGAAAGCCACTCAGGTAGGTTTGACGGTATGCGGTACAGTTGTGGAGGTATTATAGATTTTGCTATGAAGCACATTGCATCGCTTTGGGTTTTTTTTTAAGGGTTATACTTTTTTTTCCTTAGTTTTTCTTCTTTAACCCTCCAATTGTTGCTAACTTATAGCCAGTGGTGTCAGGAGAAATCATATGATTTTACCAAATTATGTTGGAAAATGTGTGAGAATAAGCGAACCAAGCGTTTTAAAGGCTATACTATAAACATACGCATTTTCTGAAAGTGGAATGTAAATAGGAATTACAGCTCATTTGTGAAGGAATTGAAATGTTTGGTGATATAAAGAATAAGATAAATGAAACGAAATAGCAACTCAAATTACAACCAATTCAATCGGCCATGGCACCACAAAATGAAGCTTACGGACGATTTAACAGGAGCACTAAAAGACAATTATTTTGTCATGTGCTTCTCTTTACTCTAACAAAACTCTCTGTTTCATGTCTAGTTTCTCTATCAATATATGACATTTATTTTTCGTCGCTTTTTCTCAGGTTCTGTTCAGAACGGCTCCAATCCTTGTTGCGTACACTCGAGCTGGCAGACATAAAGGACTACTCATCCCTGTCCTTAGTGGCAAACTTTGCTACTCTCATCAGTACTTACACAAAAGGTCGGCCTACTCTCCTCTGTTTGTTTAACAATTTGTATATCCTTGTGTTGTGGTTAGTTTGTCAGATTCACACTTACACAGTTATTGTAAGATGAAGGGTACGCGGGGGGGGGGATTATTTCCATGTGCGGCTAATAGGGTTGATTTTGTATTGTTAGGAGGGTTTGTTAAGAAATCCTAGTTTTTCTCTGTTCAGCCTTGTGGGAATAGGTAGTCGGCAAAAGGCAGAGACAGAACGGGAGTTATTATGAAGTTATGTGAGCCTTTAGTTGGCGCAGGTACAATTTTTCTTTCTCTCTTTCCAGTAGTAATTTAGAACTTTCTCAGAACTATCAAGCCTCCTGCTTCTATGGTTTGTCATCAGACTGATCTTAGTGTAAGCTGAGCTTTTGGAGCAGGCTCTGTTATGCATTGGGTGGCTATATGTGAATACTCAGGTCAAATGCCTAGAGAATTTGCACATGAACGAAAATGTTGTATTTGAATGTTTGAAATTGCCTTCTAAGTAGAATGTCTTGAATGTGGTTTATGACGTTTTTCTGCGACTTATATGGCAGGAAATATGGGATCAGGCTAAAAAATGTTTTGAAAGTTTATTTTGAGGTAGGACTCAAAAAAAGATGATGGTGAGGTGTGAATAGACAGATCTAATTTTTATTCTGTTCTGTCTAGGTGTTCAAGACCTTTATGTTTATTCAGGTATCCCAAAAAACTGTACTTGTCTTTTCCTGATTGTTTTTAACAGTGAGTGACCATTGTGGGCTTTATCAAATACTACCTCATTTGATTTCTTTTCCTTCCTCAATATTCCCAGTAGTTGTCTAAAAACCACATTTCTGTTGCTTCTATTTTTATTTTCACTGGCTTTCGTGATTGTCCAGGATTCACAGCCATATATAGAAGTGTTGACCATACATATCATTTCAGAACCTTCATTTTGGTAGTCCTTGAGATGTTTCCATTTTTACAGGGTGGGCTCATTTTACTGAAACTAGCCTTAGTCATTGCAATTCGTCATTTAAGTTTATTGTGTACATTGAACATTTTACCAATATCTTTTGAAATTATTTTATGTGTTTTATTAATTTTGAGGGTCTGAAATCATCATATATTGTATATTTACAGTACATTGTTCAAACTTTTTATCTTAAAAATTTCTTTCCAGGATTTTCATTGATCATTGAGCCATTTGATGACCGTACTCCCACCATCTCAAACCCCATCATGAATTTCAGCTGCCTAGATGCCACGATCGCTGTCAAACCAATATTTGATCGCTTTCAGACTGTTGTTGTTACATCAGGGGTAAGAACTGTTGTAACAATCTTTGTATAAAAAGGATTTTGCAAATTGAAAAGGAAGTATTTTCATTGTAATATAATGAATGTTTAAACAAAACAAATAAAAAATTAGACTAAGGGGTTTGACATTTTATCATTGTCCTGCTATGTTGATGTGTGCTGTGCATCCTGAGAACAGGCAATATTGTCTCATCATGGGGGATCTGATTTGTGTTTCTTTAGATTTTTAATCTATTTCTCTACGCAGTTGGGACATTGCAGATTGTACGTGTCCATACCTGCCCTCCCCCCCCCCCCCCCCCTCCAAGGATTCACCCCAGTCTATCTGTTTATCAGTGTAGTTAAATATAATATAGTATATAGCTGGCTAATGAACGTTTTAATAAGTTATGGATTCAATTCTAATCAAATGTGAGCGTGCCTGGTATAAGGTACCAAAAGATGCATTTGTTCGTACCGAGATATCAGGCTTCAAAGGTCAAAAATAAAATTTTTGACAAAAACTAAGTTCCATTAAAAATGGATTCTTAAGCCATTAATATATCGATATTTACAAGGACTTGAGTTTCTTTTACTTAAAAATACATCTTTAAAGATGTTTTATAACTCGAGGTATATTACATAATCCCGAAAAATGCGTGAAAAAATTGGTTTCCCGAGTACACACTGCGGATGGTTTCTCTTGTCCATTCATAAAGTAAACCCAATCACATTGCATACCAAAATTTAGGTCATTCTCTCTCCTCTCTAATGGCGAGTTGTGCGCATGAATATCTAGAACGTGTAAACAAAGCAAGGCTTTGCGCATCCACACCCTTTCATTCTTAGGAGAGCAAATTGTATCACATATTTAAATTTCTTCTCTGCGCAAACCTAGATCTAATTTCTTGAAAATTCTTGCTCAAGGTGGTGGCAAATTTGTTTTGAAGACATATATAAACATTTTGAAGCTGTTCTTTTATCTTGGCAGCTTTTTAAAGTTGGTTTGTGAGTAGCGAATGTGTTGTCAGGTCGTCTCGAAGCGTAGATCTATCTATTTGAAGCAGAAACAAAGGGGAAACTAGCCGTTTTTCTCATAACTTTGTTCCCGTACCCTGCCTTATAAAATCACCCATATCTCAGAAACCCCTGAAGATATCTTAAAAATTCAAAAAGCATATTGTTCTGAAATTATCCCTTTACATGAAAATGCTAAAAGAAGGGATTCTTCAAAATGCATCATTTGGTACCTTTCACCAGGCATACACACAAATAGTCCTTATTAGCATTTTCAAAGTTGATTATGTTTAGATGAGAATTTGGGCACTAATTTTGGTGTGCATGTGTGTATCGGTAAGATGTAAAATCCGGGCAAAGTTAAACCAAAAATTAACTTCTCGAAATGCCGTAAGTACTTGAGCCAAAGGGTTATTTCATGAAAAATGAAACCGCAGTGACACTCCCTCTGAAAAAATTCTTAGCAGTGAAAGAACCATAGTTTTTTAACATGTTAGAGGAATGTTGCCTCTTACAAAATGAGAATAAAGAGTGGCCCCACCATGGGTTAAACTTTTTTTTCAGCAGGTCATCATCTCCACGCTAGTTGTATCACTGTGATTTTATTTTTCATTGAATGGCCCTCAGCATGTTTTAAATTGCCAGGGTCAGAATTTAAGATACTGATTTGTTTGGGTGTGGTGTTTTTTTTGTCAACGATAAACAGTTTTGTCGTATTCATCAATGAGAGACCTCTATTCATCTCCTTCAGACACTTTCACCTCTGGACATGTACCCCAAGATCCTGGACTTCCAGCCCGTCACCATGGCAACATTCACCATGACATTGGCTAGACCCTGCATCTGCCCCATGGTAAGTGTGTCTAGCAGAGCCCAAAATCTCCTCAATGGGTTAGTGTGCGGTTATATGCTTTCTTATTCATCATAAGTGCAATGGTGAGAGATATCCTTTGGTCTTGCACTTTAAATAGTTAAAGATGAAGCCTTTATTTTGCATGTAAGGCAGTTTTCATTCTGAAAGTTTTAGAATTGTGTCTTTTATTTAATTGAATTGTGATGTTAGTAAGCCCTTGAAGGAAAAAGTGAAACATAGATTCATTTCCATACAGAAAAGTAAAAGTATGACAATATTATTTCTGGGTCTTGAAATTTTCAAAATCCTTATCCTTGGACCAATCTTAACTGATAAGCTACAAGCTGGTTTCCCAACCCAGCCTTACGAGGCAGCCTACTGAGTAATAAGCCCCAGTCCAGTATGCCAGATGTAACAGTTCAAAGGGAAAAATCTGAAGAATTTCATGAAGGGAAAGGAACTAAGCTATGTAGTGACACATGAAAGATGGCAGCTATCATAACTGATTTGTGATACCTGACTCACCAAACTGATGAGGAAAAAAAAGCAGAAAAGAAAAAAAAGTACTGCATCTTTTCTTTATCCACATGGAGAAATTTGAGGTACACTATATGGCATGTAGGCCTACTATGGATATGATAGATAATTCAGAGGTTACACCCGTGTCACTTAAATATTATGTGTCTTTCCGGTCTGTGTGTATTATTTAGTCATCTAAACTAGTCAGTGGCGTCGGTAGCCTAGTGGTTTGGCTACCGGACTCGTGATCATGAGATTGCGGGTTTGGGGGGGTTCGAGCCTCAGCTCGGTTCGACTTTGTGTCCTTGGGAAAGGCACTTTACACAAATTTCCCACTTGGCTCAGTCCTTTCGGAGATGGGCGTTAAACTCGAAGGTTCCGCCTCTTAAATAACCTACCAGTGATGTTAGGGGCGTTAAGCCTATACCATTTTTTTAAACCAGTCATGGACATGAGACAAGCTATGCTGTGTAAAAACAATGCAGATCTGTTTAAGCTATGCTGAATGTTTTGTCATTGAGAGAGGAGAGAGTGTGCGACCTTTTTTGTAGGTGTATTTATATTGACGTGCTTGTGTGACTGCATCGATGTGTTATGCTGTGTATTCTTCTTTTGTATTGTTGAAGCTGTTGGAAGCACTTCACAAGTTTCTTTCATCAGTCTAGGATCAATGAAAAGTATCTTTATTTCATCTGACTTCCTTGTCTCCTGTCTTTCAGATTGTCAGCAAGGGCAATGACCAAGTGGCTATGAGCTCAAAGTTTGAGACGAGAGAAGATATAGGTTAGTGCCAATATTTTAGGAGGATTCTGTGTTTGTTTAACTTTAGTTTGGGTCACTATTTAGTTTGAAATGTATGTGCATTTGTGTGGTTCTCAGCAAGAGTCTCAAGCTTCAACTCTTACTTGAAGAAGAAAAAAAGAAAAGAGTTAAGAGATCTGAGACTTATTTATACAATATAGAAGAGGGTGAGAGGGAAAAAGAAAGAGAGAGATAGGATAACAGGGAGAATGGAAGGGCAAGAAAAAGCATAGAGATAAAATAACAAATAAAGAAAAGAAGTCTATCCCAGTTCTGACCTATCAGTTGTAAGATTGTGTTTTGTGATCATTTAATTTTAAAGCTTGAATCATCACAAGTTACATTAAGGTATACATCATTTCACAAGGCTTGCCTATCACACAATGCTTTTTTTCTTGGGGGATCTCTTTAAAATGTTTTTTTCTCCCATGCTATAATATTTCTTTTCTTGTGTTCGTACCTTTTAGTTTAATTCAAAATGTTCACATACACTTACAGCCGTGACCCGTAACTATGGAAACCTGCTTGTGGATATGGTGACCGTAGTTCCTGATGGTGTTGTTTGCTTCTTCACCAGCTATATATACATGGTGAGTGTAGATGAGATAAAGAGAAGAATTCTTTTGTACCATTATCATGTTCTTTTATTTGTTTGATTGTTCATTTACTGTATTTATAATCCTGTCATCTATAATAAGCTTTGGGAGAAGTAAAATGATCTCAAGTTGTGTGTGGACAAACAGTGAGAAGCTGAAAAGAAGCGGAATGAGAGTAAATAAAAAATGTGAGGCTGACTAACAAAATGAATTACTTCTCGGATTCTAGACCTAGGACATAGATGCATTAAATTTATAGGTTGAATTTGTACAATTTTTTAGTATGAAGTGATAAAGGACATGTTTAATTTGAACATAATAGAACCAGTTAAAAATCTACAAATTTGATCCCTTAGTCAATTTTTGGCTGATATGTCCATTTGTGGATTGCAAGAAGTTACTCAATTTGTCAGCTTGCATCACAAATATATAAGCTGGTCAGCGTTCAGAATTAAACATTGCATCTCGGTGATTAGAGATGAATATCTTATATTTTTAGTGAGCACATAGGAAACAATTGTTGTGTTGGTCTGTATTTGAAAAGGGACCTTCAGGCTGATAAGTCATTTGCTCATGTTGAATTGTAGCTGCTTTCCAAATCCCACATCGTCGGTCGCTTCATAAAACAGTGAATTCCACAAATTTTCGAAAATCGTTTTTTTGGTGTGCATATTTTGATAGTGCTTGATGAGATACATGTCCATATACACCTATTTTTCAATTACCTCAACTCAAACGTGTAATCTGACGTAATAAAAAAAACCGTGAATAAACACCGTGCCCCAAGTCGCCTGATGAAACCATGAATCCCACACCTATGTGGAATTCACGATCACATCTGTCGGTTTATGACTCGCGGGGCTGAACGTTGGCGCCGTGAACGCCTCTTTAGACCATGTAAATATGGGCAACTGCGTTGAGCAAACACAATGGTCGGTCAGTATTCACGGTTTCTAGGCCAAAGATTATAATTTATTTTGTCTACTACATGCGTTTTGCGGGAAAGCCTCTCTGTCACATGATTAAAATGTGTATTTCCTAGATGCAGGACTGGTATTGTTTCACAACGACTGTCAAATTCGAATGTGCAATGTGTGTGCCCTTCTAATAGTAGGTTATAAAACGTTAGTCTTTCTCATTTTAAAAAAAAATGATAAAACGTAAACTAGTCAAGTATAAACTACAAGTCCGTATTGTATCACAATCCAAACTTGTTTGACACTGAAAGCTCACTGATTTGACATCAGAGTTCCCTTACAAGAAAATAAATTTTGCGAAGCAGAGAAATGTGAACCACTTTAGACATCAAAGAAAGCTGTAGAAAATCCAGCACGGAAATAGTAGAAGAACCAGGTCTCAATGAAAAAGAGTGTCATTCAAAGCACATGATGCATTGGAACAGGTCAAAGGTGCTTTTTTTAACCTCCGAGAGAGAGAGAGAGAGAAAGAGAGAGAGTGAGTGAGAGAGAGAGAGAGAGTGAGTGAGAGAGAAAGAGAGAGAGAGGCCAGCAATAAGCAAAACAAATCAAGAGATAGGACTATTTAAAAAAACTAATGAACTGAAACCCAAAGGTGATTGCTTAATCAAATCAAATGACTGCTCACTATTAAAAGACAAAGCCACAACAACTATCTTTGTCCTTGTTTGGACTTTGACATGGGGAGACAGAAAGACCTATGTGAACGGTCTTCTCATAACGAAAGAGTACAATTTAAGCAAAGGCGATACACCAAGCTGAAAGACACACACTTGGGTTTATTATCTGAAACAGAGTGGCCAGAAGATCAAAGTTTGCAGGATGTTGATATCTATGACCGGGATCACCCACTGTAAACTGCTGTAGAAGAGCCCATGCACGTTTCATCATTGCCTGGCTCACCCTGTACGGACAAACACTTTCCACTTTTCCCTACCCTGGGCTAACTTTTTCATATTTTTTCAAATTTTATGTCTTTCCACTTTTCTGTTCATAATTCTCTGCGACTTTTCTACAGGTTCCACATGCCCTTCCCTTGATCGTTTAACCTGTGGACTCCCAAGTTAAAACATTCTTTCTTATATAGCTGCCTGATTTCCAGATGGCATGCTCAGTCCAATCCATCTCCACTGCTTTCTTCTGTCTGAAAATTTTCTTCTTAATACTTCCTCATTAGTGACTCTGTCTGTCCATCTGATCTTGAGGAACTTCCTCAGACACTTGTTGATGACAACCTGCATCCTCCAGTACTTTGTAAAGAGTGCTTTAGAAGAGCTCAACACAGCTGCACCACCAAACAATCCACAAGGGGCGTGCAAGCCAAGGAGTTTCTGTTCACATCTGTGGACATGTTTCCAAAGGTCCCCTCTACTATTGCCAGAAAAGCTCTGGAAAACTGTATCTTCATCCCTGGTTCTGTAATCTGTCAGAGCTTCATTGGTTTTATGCACAGATCAGGGACAATCTGCCTTGTATTTCAGACTACTCAAATATGTGCCAGAGGATAATATGTTGATCTATGAGCCAAAAAAAGATCATTGTGAATTGTGCGTGAGTTTTGAGTCTTGACAACGTCAGTGAGACAAATTGGGAATCTCACATGTCAGAAAAGAAAATCACAAAGAAAGGGCACTAAAACCTTTGCTCTTAAGCAAGAAGACCTTTTGATGATTTGCATGAATCTTCAGGGGTGTACCTTTAGCACTGCCTATCAATTCCCCCCGCTCTTGTTTCAAAAGCATGCACATAATCTTCAATGTGACCCCTATTGTGTCATCTACTACGTATAACACACGGTCCCAAGGTGGTATATCAACAAAGACCCTATAAAGTGAAATTTGTGGATCACGTTTTCTTCCATGATTTTGCCAAAATTGCAGTCGACAAAACTGTCACGTCGGGAAGACAAAAAGAATACCAAACTGTTAATGGAATATGAAGCCACTGATATGTAACATAAGGAGAAATTCTTTGCAAACTGAACTCTATCGAAGAGTGGAAGAGTCTTCTTAAGTCCAGAGACAAGGAAAACTTAACAAACAGTTCCCCACCACTGTATCATTCTCCTTGAAAAATCGCAAAGAGTAATTTTCAGGATCTGAGAGACAAAAAGAGTAAGATAATGAAAGATGATCATTCAGTCATTCACAGGGTATAGAAGTTTGATACAAATCAAGTTCTTAACCCATCAATCCGCCCCCCCCCCCCCCCCCCCATCCCTTCAGTCCAATAAAAAAGGACATACACTTACACACTATTGGAGAAAGAAGGATAGAAAGAGAGAGAGCACGCAAATGAAGGAGTATGATTTCATAAATTGCATACAATATCCCATTCATGTAAGAATGATACATGTTTAAAGTGGTAAAATAATTAATAGCTTTCCGTTTCACTCAGTCTGTAATTTCATACATTATACGTGTACTCAGTTTTAAACTGGTCTTTTAAAATCTTTTGTTTAACAATATTTCGTGCTTTCATATATCTTTAAACATACCAGGGCCTCTAATAAAAGAAAACACACTGCCTAATAACCGTGAATACATCACCGCATTTCATAAAGCCCACTGATGAAATCGTGAATTCCACAATTCCACTTCCACATCAAGCGAGATTCTAATATATGGAAATCGTGAATCCCACACTTTTTCGATAAAATTTTGATCTACGGTAAAAAATGTACTACAGTATTATTTCTAAAAGGTAATTGACTAGATTTATCCATTTAGTTGATGTCTTGAACGCCAAATGACAGAGGAAATTAGTTTTTTCCCTCTCCTGTAAAATTTGCTTCGTGTGGAATTCACGATTTCATCAGGCGACCAACAACATGTCAGAACAATAGTGGTTCATCTTTAGTCTCCGGTTTTAGATTCCTTTGGAAAGCTATTCAACTGTACTGTACATAATAATTGCTGATGGGTTGCTTTTTTCCTTCTTTTTTTTTCATTTCCATGTTAATATTACTTCATGTAATACTGCATAGCAGTACGGTACTGTGTGGGTTTAATTTTTATTTAGAAAAAGGAATTGTGCCTCTAGATTGTGGCCTTAGAGACATATTCTCATGCAGTTATTTTTCCTCCTGTCTCTGTTGCATTGCCACTTTTTTTTGTCTTGCAGGAAACAATTGTGGCTGCTTGGTATGAACAGGTAAGTCATGGTGCACATATCGTCGTCGCCGCAAGAAAATGAGTTGATCCAGTTGTCAAATAGAGTATTTTTGTTTGGATCCTGTACCTCTATCTTGGGTGCTACGTTAAAAGCTGTAGTAGTGGAGTACCAGTACTACTACTAGTAAAGTAATAATGAGTCAACAGATAACTTTCCGATTTGCACAAGTGTTAGAGATGCAGCCAAGTGGACCTTTCTTAATTTCCATTTATATATTATTATATTTTCTATTTTATTCATTCATCAAATCTCCAAAAATAATTGTGTTACAGTATACTACCTGTGTCGCCTAATCTAGCTCCGGGATGTCCTTAGAGGGTGACATGGTCAAATGGAGCTACTCATTGTTATTGCGACATCGACGTTATGCTTAAAGTAATAACTTATGTGAAGAAATATTTATGTGGGTTTTTTTTTAAAGAGGTTAATTATTATCCTCTTCTGTCATTGACTGTGTCTTAACCAAAGGATTAATTGCATGACGCATTGTATTGGGGCTTTTTTTGTTTGTACCTTTGAAGGCAACAGCTGCAATAGACCACATATCATCATGCTGGACCATGACATGTGAATAACCCTTGTTTGTATCCCCAATGGGTGTCCTCGATCTTTTGTTGTTTGGGGAGTTTTCAAGGCTTTCCACAAACTTGGTTTGATACCGTTCAATAGATGGACTTTCAGTTTGAAGGGTCCACATCTTAGGCAGCGGCATAACATATTCACGGGTGTTGAACTAGTCCCATTACACACCCTGGCCTGGCAGTGGAATAAAAGTTCTTTGTGTTCTTCGTTGATTCAGTGACTTTAAGAAGGTTCACAAATCAAAGGTCTACATTCTCCTGATCATTACCACAAAGTGGAATATTAGTTTGTGGCCTTAGGTTTGGTCAAAGGCCACAAAGCATTTTCCCGTCTGTGAAGGGTCTTTGTCGGAAAACTGAAAAGACATCAATTTATTTTGGATTTTTCTTCATCTTTTAATAGCTATTCAATTTTTTTTGTATTGCTTTGTGTTCAAAACGTTGTTAAGAAAACAGAGATTGATATTAGTTACAATTAATTGAAATTTATTGTAATATCTTGGAAAGACTTGATGAAAGCCTAGAATACGATACAATGAGAAAAGACCTGTCTCAACAGGAATGAGGTGAGCAGGTTTTAAGTTATGTGTCAAATAAAGCACTGCCAAACCTACAGTGATTTTAGTCAATTTATTTCCAGTTTTTGCTATAAAATTTTTTGCATATTTCGGCAACTTGTTCTGCTGATTTTGATGGAATTTATGTGTTGAGACTTTGATGAAGATTGAAAAATTGAAATAAGTCGTTTCACAGGTACAGTGGAATCCACTTAAACTGGACTCTGCAGGACGGCCAGGTTTTCTTTGGTTTAGCCCTGTGTTCAGTTGAGAGAAATTGCTCAAATAGTGAAGGGAAAAAAAATGAATTTCTTTCGGTTTACGGGTGTTTGGAATTAATTGTGTTTGGTTCAAGTGACTCCATTGTACTTTCCTTTCTTACAAATTTTGTAACTTATGATGAGAAGAGGAGGTAAGGGAATTTTAGAGTGTATGAAAACAGTCCACCCAGTTGAGAACTGGGTATCTGCTTCATTCAGTCTACGTGAGGAGTTTTTAACAGACCAGCATCATTCACAGGATATAGTTTGAATGGGTTAACTTTCTATTATTCTTAAAATTGAGAACATGTTCACATATCTTTGGTCTATAAGATCATGCAAATGAGTCTTACAACCAAAAAATAATTCAAGCAAAGGTTTAAAGGTTTGAACTTTATGTCCCGAGAGTAGTGTCCATGCTCTTTACTATCTCAAAGAAATACGATGGGATGCTTCATGTTAATTGCTGGCGACAGTGTAAACATTATGCTATGAAAAGTCGATGTGTACTCAACTTCAACAAACCATTAAAAATGTGTTTATAGAGCCACCTGCTATTGATGCGGAAGTATTGCTTTAGCCTATAGCTTCATCTGCGGCAGAGAAGTGTTTATTTTTGCTAAACCAAAGGGTAATATTACGATTTGACTTTAGCATAAGACATGTTAAGACTTGTCTTCTGTTGTTCTTATAGCCTAACTGTCCTGGCTAAGCTGGTTGGTCTTGGTCTTCGTTGTTATTCCCTCCCATTTACCAAAAAAATCATCACGTATAGGATGCATGCTTGGATAAGACTAAGGTTGACTTGAAAACCAACGTTTTGGTATAAATCATGTGCATCAGATAAGATATATCAACTTTTTCATGGAAACCACCATCACCTTTGATTGAATACTTTTCATTTATAAATAGCATTTTAAAAACAAAAAAGGTTGGGGGGGGGGGGTTCTATTAACCTGATTACCTGACCCATGAGGGGGGTCCCAGCTTCAAACCTTAAGGATAAGATGCACGGCAACTTTGAAATCTTGCTTTTTCTGTAAAAAGTTACATCCTATATGTGACGATTAGAGCACACTACAGCTGAGTTTGAGGTTCAGAAGAGACAGAAAATTACCAAGAGTGTGATGTACGCAAAGAGAACTCATCGTGCACACATTCAAAATGAGTTTCAAATTGCACAGGACAAAAGTTGGCAAATTGCTGACAAAATTTGCATTTTAGTGTTAATTCACATGTTGTTTGTTTTTTGGGGATGTGAATTCTAAGTGTAAAAAGCCCAAAGGTTCATCAATAATTCCATGCCAAACTCCATATGTGGGAACATGTCCATGTAGAACAAATTTTATAGACTTCCAGTGTGATGTGTAAGTTTCACTTTGACTGAAAGATATGAGATGTACTGGTTCTTTGAAGCAGAAACAAGAGCCCTAGCATATTCGAACTGTGGTCTGCTTCTCATTCCCCTTACAGAGCCTTTCTTCAAGGAAAGCCAAACTCGGTTTGACAAAAATTAACATAACGCAGGAGAGAAAAAGAAAGATAGACTGATATTTTCTTATTGGTGGTTCAGAGTAGTTTATGTTAAGTAGGTTCACAGCCATTAGTTCACACAAAGAAATTTTTACCAGATCAAATACAACTAATGACAACGAAGATTTGAACACTGAAGATCTGTATATAGACTAGAAATCAACATTTTATTATGAAATCAGCAACCCTGTGTTTCAGGTGAGGATCAAATTTGTTAAAAATGCATGGTATTGTTGTATTCTACACTGATAAATAAATTAGAAAAACTGAGCCAGAGAAATATTCTCCTAGAAAACAACTATGCTTACAGTACAGTATGTTTGTCAAGAAACTGAAAATGTTTTGGTGGATCGTCATTCACATAAGCATGACCAAAAAAAATCTTTGTAAAAAATATAAAAAATTCTGGTTACTCAATTTGCACAACATGTGTAAGTCAGTGCATAGTTGGACACTGTGAAATGAAATTGGCCTGTAGAGGAGGAAAAGAGCGATGAAGTGAATCATTTTAAAAAGTAAAACTTAGAGAGAAAAAAGTACCATTGAGAAAAATAGGATGGAAACAAAATCATTTCAGGTGTTATGTGAACATCACATCTTGTGATGAACAAATGATAAAAACTGTTTGCATTGACACTGCATGGTATGGTAAAAAAACACACAATAATATTACAAATGTTCTAATTTTGATACAGACATATGCGCCATGACACAGTGGAATCAGACGCTCGTCAATTTTTATGCAAGTAGAGGTATGGGTTCTGTTTTAAAGCTTGTTCATTAATCAATGTTTTGATGAAAAAAAATACCCATTTGAATAAAAGTGGAGATATTTGCAACTTAAGGAGGTGAGGGTTTCCTGGTTTCAGGGGTATAGGGGTTCAGTTCAGCAAGAAAATGGCCGACAAACTTTGGTGATTTCCCAAGCTTGAGAGTCTTTGGAAACTGAAAATTTAGAGTTTGTATGCCTTTAACCAATGCTTTTCAGAATATCAACACAGAAATGTGTTTTTAAAAGGGTGTTGAGCCAAAAAACAAATTTTTAAATTAAAATTGCCAAACATTCGGAAACATGCAGGTATCTTCAATTTCATTATTTTGACGAGCGCCTGATTTCACCACGCTGCCTCACATATCAATTTTCAAAGCCAAAGCTGCCCAGCGGACAGCATAACCATAATGAATACTCGCTAATATAGAAGAAAAGTGAAGGCTTTATCTAAAGGATGAATACTATTCATGAAAAAGATAACAAAAATCAATGTAACAAAACCAAATTAAAACCCAGATTTTTCATAAATCACAAAAAAAGTTTTACAAAAGAATTATACTGGGAAGACAGGTTGATTTTGCACTGTTAAGGATAACAAAACATACAGAACAATGTGACAATTACAGAAAGACTGCCAGCCTCTGGCTTTCCTGATGTCTCCTCAGAAAAGAAAGCATTGATGCTATTTGACAATTTTAACTTCTGAAATGTTGTGTCCTAATCGGTAGTCTAGACCAAGAAGCCCAATAATTTTTTTGAGAGTGACTAACTGACAGCTGGGACGAAATAAAACACACAATAATTGCTTAACAGCAAATGGCTTGGTGCTGAAAGTGACAGTGCTGCCATAACATTACAACTTGAGATCGGCAGTCTTAGTAATAGCAGTCGTTTAGAAAGAGTGCCTTTTTTTTACAATAGAGTGCAGTGGAAATACATGTACACATGTAGTACAAAATATGGCTGCACAAAAACTTCTGATGCAATCTCAAAAACAGGTTATCTGTAAAGTCACCTGCAGAGCACTTTGTTTTTGTTCTTTTCAGCAACTCCATGCTTTACTTTTCTGTCACATTTTAGTTTGAAATTGCATGGCTGGATACACAAAATATATACTTATTGTTTTGTAGACAACTATAATAAAATTATCATGAAAAATAATTGTCCACCTTCTTTAGCTCATATAGGCTTAAACACAACCACCATTCGGTAGCATTGGCATTTAGGAAAGATATGTTCTTGAAAAAGCTTTCTCTGTCCGAAGAGCCAGCAATGCACATAGCACTGTACTCCACCAAATACAAAGTCAAAATACTATGCTAGGAACATTTTAGAAAGTGAAGTTATTGAACAAAATGAAAACATTTACATTCATCCTGACTCATCAAATCAAAGGGAGGAATCAGGGATAATCAAAACTTGCTTATGAAAATATGGCATTGCATATGGGTAAATTTCAAATACAAAAGTACATTTTCTCATGAATTATTCAAAATTTGAAGAATAACAACAAGTGAGAGACTTCATGAAATGAAGTTAGAAATAATGCATCAAACAAACAACAATAGATCTAAATCTCTCCATTTCGGAGTCACCAAATTCACAAATGCCCAACCAGATCTGGTCAGAGGAGCTTTTGTACTCAGCACTCCCCAAAAGGCCTTCTTGCCTTCATTAAGAAAAAAACAAAACATGGAGGATGAATAAGGTCTCAGGGCAAGTTTATATTTCTGTATTTATAGGAACATACAGCAAACTCTAATGCTAGCTCAGCTTAAGGTTATCATAATGCCTTATTTATTGTTAAATCAAAACTATTTTTTTTTAAAAAGATTTATGGCCAGTTTAGACAACAAATACTTTTTCACTTTGTTCTGACCGGCCCTGCAAAAAGAGCATTTGACATAAATCTACAGGTAGATGACAAAAAATATAAAATATATGTAAAGCTTGGAATTGACAAAACAAGGTTCTAAATCTAAATGTATGTGTGCTAGTGGTTGCACTCTAGAATAGATAAATATAAGCCAAAAATTTACTATGAGAAAAAATAAACCATTTGGAGACATTCTTTTTTTTTTTTTGCAAGTGGGGTCTCCTTTAAATCACCTCTTCGAAAACAGGGTGAAAGTAACAGTGAATGGACACCAATAAGATATGAAAAAGTAAAAGGTTATACAAACAAGGAAAACTGAACAGTAGCAGCGGGGGGAAAGAACCAGAACACAATTTTTTAAAAGAGTGAAGAATTTTACAATGCCTGCACCAAACATTTATATCACAAAGGTGGCAGTATTTGGTATTTTTTGTACAAAGTGCCTTCAAGGCCGACATGTAAATGTGTGACTGACAAACCAAGATATATCACAATAAACTAATTGCTTGAGCATCACATATACAACACACCAGCACTCTGCATACAACTGGATATTAAAAGTAAAAATACAATAAAGCACCAGAGCTGAGTTCTGCAAATTTGTTACCAATTTAAAATCTGAGTTCCATGACCATTATGAAACAATTTTGCATAGAACAAGAATATCACAATAAATGAAAAGAGGGATCTAGCAGTCTTTTCAAGTCTCTTCTGAACCACTTCATTGCCTCACCCCACCACAAACTCTCAGAGTCAACTACTCTCCTCTGTACATATGTGACTCAACTCCATTTCCAAAAAGAGCATTTAATTAGGTGGGGCACTATGAACTTTCTGTACAAACATTCTGCACAATCTCAAACTGGGACAAAAACAAAAACCACCAGCGTTTCATTTTCATTTTTCTTTCCTGATAATGTCAATGATGAGTTTGACAATGAAGGGGTGACTATGTATTCAGTACGTTATTCATACAATCATGTATAGTCTTCCCTTTAAAAAAGACAGCAAAGATATTCTTTGAATTTTGATTAAAGATCAACAATGAAAAAGTTGAGCTGATTTCATAGATAAAATATTCATTTGTAGTCTATATTGGGAACATTTTCAGAGTTAACCTATTTAGGTTCTCAAGAAAATCATTGGATAAGGAAACTGGAACCAACCCAAATTCCGCACAAAGTAGTCAAAAGTCATGTCCTCAATTCAAATATCATGACAGTAATCGGAATGAGCAGCATTTCTGAACCTGGAATTACTGTACCATCATATAGGCCTACATGTAATATGACATGATAAGTTTTTGTATTAATTAAACATTTGAAAAAGTCCTCAGGTCAGACAATCTCTAAGAAATCAATAAACTATGTTGCAGTCCCCCCCAGAAATCTTGGCTGAACTGCAGTCTGTCAAAGAAAAGACATACCAAGCTAAATTTGTTCTACAATTATGACACAGACAAGCCAGACAAAATGCTTTTATAAAGAATGTCGGGGCTAAAAATGTGGAAAAATTCAATACTTGTCGGAGAAATCAACATGATTATTTCCCGCTGACAGGCATAGATCTAGTTGTTATGTGAAATACCTTCTGTGAAAGCTCAAAAACAAAAATTCATACTTTGAAAACAAACTTGCATTTTTGTGAGGCATTTTGGATAGACATGTTACTTCATGCCATCATTTATCATCGACCGAAAAAGAAGGGAAATATACATGTATAAAAAAGTCAATTGTCACAGTTCACATGAATTAACGCATATCATTTCAAACTCAGCATAAGACCTTATGAGAAAGAAGATTAGTAAAGCAGCTGAATCTTAAATGACACCCTTCTATAATTCATGCAAGCCAAGAGATAATTATGTGCTTCTATTTATGAACTCAGTACCAATGAGAAAATATCTGAAACAAGTTGTGATCAAGCAACAAAATGTAGAGGGAACAGGGTTATAACGGATAAATTATCCAATTGTATTTCGACTCAAATTTTTACCTGTTCCAATAAGTTTACAAGTTCAGACTGGGGATAGTCTATAGATCTATTTATAAAGAATTGGGCCACAAAATGTGTGATCCTTCTACAGACTAAATTTCAGATTGAAATTGTCTGAAACATTTGCCATAGAGATCATTACAAGCAATATTGAATACAGGCAAGTAAGGAGTTTGGGGAAACTCCTCATTTCAGCCTTTAGAATTAGATGTTCACTTCTTTACTAACAACAAACATATTTAGCTCCGTCTGTGCTTATAGACTTCCAGTATGGCACTTCAGAAAACACTGCTACCTCTATGGCTACTTTTGTTTAGTAGATTGTCATGTTCTGTTCAATACAAAAATTATACTTGTTAACACTCAAGCTGTTGCTTTTTATCCAATCATGAATCAAGTCCCTTTGTATTTTTGAAAAAAAAAAGAATTGTTTTTAGGATGTTAATTGTTAACACTAATGAAATTCAAAAACCCATTTGGTACATACTTATTCACCTCATTCTCACTGTCTCTCCAAAGCACGGAGAAAGAGCATATATTATGACACTCAAAATTTGAGAGTTCTCTCCAACTCCATCCAATAAAAAACATCCTGGTCTTAATCACCAGATTTTTCAAAAGGTAAACAAACAACCATGAAATGTCTGTGGATCCACATAACATTTTAACAAGTCAAATGAGAACACATAATAAACCTGGCAAACTCTCTCTACCATACAACATGATTATCACAGATCAAGAAGGAAGATTTAATTACTCTCAAATTCAACTAACATCAAGAGAAGAACAGAGGTTAGGCAGATATGACATCAAAATTGCACATAGGATCATGAGTGTCACTGTTACACTCATCACATCATAATTAATCAAACACAAACACTTCACTATGAGGCAACAAAGTATTAAAATGAAAAAGACACGAGAAGTGACACCCTAAGCTTTACTGAAAAGCATTATTTTTTACAGTATATTGTAAGAATCTTATTACATTGTATTTTTTTTGTTAAGGAAAGAAATCATAAAAAAATAACCTAAAGACGAAAGCAGTTAATTTGTGTCCACTACTTTGAAAACTATTGCCAATAATGTAAAAACACAAACTGAAAACTCATTCAAAAATACTGATGTAAGTAACAGTTGGCTATATTTTTCAATACTTTTCATTCTTTAATCACACAAAAAAAACCTTATCCATCCACCCCACCCCCCTCCCCCAAAAACACAAAATCAAAAGTCAGTTGATAACCAAAATCCCCATAAGGAATAGTGAAGGGAAAAAGGGATAAATGCTATACCAAAATGTTGAAAGTGAAAGGCTCCAACAGCCTTGCACACTGGTCATTCTTGCTTGGCAGTTTGATAATGCTGTATAATCCCTGACAGCTGTTGAATGATGTGAGTGTTGTCTGCCATTGGGTTGTGATGATTCCGTTTCAAGTCCTTGCACACCTCCATCAGTTTTTCTTCCATGGCACGCTTCTGCACCTTCGGTTTGGTATTGTTGGTTCGGTTTCTCTTGTTTGCAAACCAAGATTTCACCTGAAACCCACATTATAGAAGCAATTAAAATAAGATTTAAAATGAACAAAAAAAGAAAATTCTGAAGCATTGAAATTAAGGCTCCTGCCTCTACCTTTTGAGATAAAGGTGAATTTTTTTATTTTTTCTTTGGGGGGGGGGGGGGGGTTTAATGTACAATTTTTTTATTGACCTTTCAAGTACAATATATAAGTAAAAGTGATTAAGCCTTCGTTGTTCAAAACGGTTTTGTTCTTTTTTTTTTTTTGTTATCACCGAAAAACAATAAAATTTTATAATACAAATCCATTAGAGCCAACCCCCTCTCCCCGTGTAATAAGTGACAGTGTGAGCACATAAACTTCCTATATTACAAACATTCTACTTTCATTTGTAAGTGTGGGCACTCCATTAGCTTGGTATCATGCTTGACTATGGAACAGATGGCCCTGGTTTAAATTCCAGAGTGAGTTTCTTGAACTCGGGTAATTTTGTGGGTGTTCAAGACTCCCATTAGGCACAGACCTATCGTAGACAGACAGTATACATTCAAAGGTTACGCCTCTTCTTAAATAAAGTAATAGTGTTGATAGGTGTGTAAATCCCATACTATTTTGTAAGTGTCTAGTCTAAAGAAATTAATACACCTTTTTTCCTCGGAGTATCATTAGCAAACTTAAAATTACCAAAACAATTTAAAGAAAAAAAATGCTGCAGATCTATGCTGCTGGAAACATGCAGGGGGACCCATATTTAATTATTATGACAGTAACAGTCGAAGTTATAACAGGATTTCGGCTTATAGCAGGCTTATAATAAATCCCAGAGTGCAATCTCCGATGGTGTATTTAATGTGGTATAGTAAAAAAGTTCTTTTATAGCAGGCATTCGAGACCATCGACAAAATCCTAAAACAAGGGGACAAGAAAGCAGAAAAAGAGCAAATGAATCAAAATAATATCATACCTGGCAAATTGCATCTACATGACCCACAGTAGTTGTAAGTTGACAATGGCAGTTGATAATCTGTTCAATAAAAGCGATCCCTTATTCATCCTTGGTTACAGTAAATTTGACCCTAATCTGTGATCGAATTCGGCTGAGCTAAAGCAGGGACATCACCTCGGTGCCAGTGTTCCTATTGTAGCTAGGGCCTACTGTTAATATAATTTGCCTTTTTTCCTTCAGGGGCTTAGTGTCTGTAGTTCCTTACATTTTTTGGTCTCTTCAAAAAGCCTGAGGTTACTGTCTAGTATTAATTCCCTTCAAAATAAAATTCTGACAAGTTCACATCAACTGCTTATTGTAAGACCATTTTGAAAAATGAAGTATGGAGCCTTACACCATAGTTCATCGATGTGAGAAATGCTGTTAGAAAGCTCAATTGTAAACACCAATGATGTCTGGAAAGTTCTTTAAAATTTAATTTTGTTGATATAAGATTATTCCCAAAATAAAACATGCACTGACCTGATTTTCTGTGATTCCTCCTTCTCTTGCCATAGCCTCTTTGTCTGCTTTGCTTGGGTAGGGGTTGTCAACATTTCGGTAGAACCACTGAAGCATAATGCAAACAGCATGCTGTCTCAGTGGTTCATTATGACGAGCACGATTCGCCACCAATTCATCACCCTCCAGCCTATCTTCCTCGTCATTTGTTGCCTGCTCCAATGAGTCACTTTTTGTCTTAGCAGAGGCCTTTTTCTTCCCTTTGCTTTTGGGGGTTGAAGTAGAAATCTTTGCTGACTGAATCTGGTTTTTACGCTGGCGACCGTTAGAGCGAGCATAGGGCTTGTCACTGTCAACCCCTTTTTTGGTGCCAGAGCGAGATGAGCGAGCTGAGCGCATGGCATCAGCCATTGAAGGGAACGGTCGCTTCGTGTTCTGGTTGAGACCAAAGTGCAACAGACTTGGATCTATCTGTTCCCTTGAAAGAGAACAGTTTGGTACTGCCATAGGTGGGCAGAGCGTTTTGCTTATATCAAGGTGCGGAAGAACAGTTTGAGGCACATGCCATGAGCCGAAAAAGTCAGTGTTGGGGTCGGATTTAGTCTCTGTCACCCCAGGCGTGCTCGAAGCAGAAGGTGGCTGAGACACAGAAGAAGGGCTGTATTCTTGCAGTAAAGAGCTGTCAGTACTAAAGCAGGATGTGGAAGCTACTGAACCAGGGCTGGCAAAGTATTGAGGAACATCCTCTTCAAATGTTTTGGGGAATGTTACTGGGATATTGTCAAATTCATCAGCATCGTCTGTCTCCTCATCGTCTTGTGCATTGGCAGGCAAATACTGAACCAACTCTGGCATTACACTGTCATTAGTGAGGTTACCAGATGGTGGAGCGAACCAAGAATTCACCTTTGAGGACACTGGGAGGAGACTGTCATTTGCCAATTCTGCTGCGCCCCACTGAGTGCCACTGGTGTGAGCAGGACAATTGGATGTGTTCTGATGGTAATAGCTGTCATAGTTTGGGTACTGACTGTAGTAATAACCAGATTTATTGTTTGGATCGAAGAGGGCAACATCATCTGGAGTTGCGACTGTTTTGCAGGGGAAAAACGCCAAATTGGGCGACTGTTCCTCAGGGTCAACTGCCTGATGGTGTATTCCTTGTGAGGAAATTGTTGAGTGTGTTAAATTCCCCATACCATATTCAAAATTGCTGGCTAACTGAAATACTGAATGAGAATCAATTTTGTCACCTTCAGTTTCATTCATTAATGCTGAATCAGTGCAGCTCTCTGAACCAATAGCACTGTCAATGCAAGACAGCTTTAGCTCTTTCTCATCTAAAAAGTATGACGTGTCAGCATTATTCTCTACAGGAATGTTAATATTCTCCACAGGAAAACCACAGCTTGTTTCACAAATTGACATGCCAAATACACCACTATCAACACCTGACCCTTCTGGTTCATCATGTTTGAGATTTAACTTGACTGTTGGTGAGATGTTTTGGGCGACTTGCAAAATGTTTCCATCATCCAGAAATGGATACTGGTACTCTTTAAGATTTGAGAAAATAGAACTGATTTCCCAATTGTTGCAAGGTTCAATGACATCTGTGCTATTCAATTCTTTCAGCATTGCTTGGCTGTTTGGACTATGAAACCCTCTTTGTTCTGACAGTCCATCAAATTTTTCATTGTCACTGTCATAAAAAATAGATGGTTGCACTTGAAGATAATGGTTAATGTCAGAGTGTGAAGATTCATCTTGTTCAATCATAAAAAAAGCAGTCTTGTCTGATAAAAAATCTAATTTTGGGCTGTCTGTCATCCTCCTGGGATCAGAAGGAAAAGGCTCATTAACAGACTTATGTAAGCATTTATCCGGGATTCGAGGATCCTCATTGTTTTCTGCTCTTAAACATTTTATATTGTTCCTACTATAATCATCAAGGTCAATTATAACAGGCTCATCAGGGCTTGGTCTGGAAGTGGAAATAGGCCTATTAAATTTTTGCTGAGAGTCAAATTGTTCAGGAGTGTGTGCACTCTGATTCTCATTCATATCTGAAAGAGAACATTCTTCGACTTTGATAACAGCCAGTTGCGAACTGCTGTTGCTGACTTTGTTGTCTGACTCTGTTTGATCTACTGTTGTGTCCTCATCGTCATTAATGACGACGCGAGGCTTTATTTCATCAACATGAGGCTTTAATTTACATACTGCGTCCACGGCACTAACAGATGTCGATATGTGCATACCTTCACCGGGACTGGAGTCGTCGTTAGAAATATATTCCTCTTTTTCGGACACGACGTTGTCATTAAGGTCTAGCCCCTCCACTTCTAAGCAAACCGTTTGGGTAAGTTGTTTGCGGTTTTCTTTTGGGCTTACATTCTTTTCGGAGGTCTGGACGCCACAAGCCTTTCCCGCGGTCATGTCTAAATCGGTCATGTCGACTGCTAGGATCAGGCAGCTTGTTATACTAGGCCTAAGGGAAAGAAAACCAGTGACTTCAAGCTGTAGCCGAGACTGAAATCCTTTCAATGCTATTTATTTAGATTGTCATAGTACGCTTTGTCTCCTACCTCCTTTCCTGTGCTGTGGGACACTCTTCTTCCAACAACGTCATAATGAAGAACCCAACTTGAAGTGTCCTAGATTTACATTCTGCTCCCGTTGAAATACTGCGCCCATACAGCTGTTTCGCGTGCTGTCTCTTCGTTGGGCTAGGCTAACTTGTAAAGTTTCTGTGATTGGATAGTAGACCTAGTTTACCCGAGAAAATGTGTTCAACGTTCTGATTGGCTGGGGATTGGAACTGGGGGAGGGAGGGGCAGGAGGAAAAGAAAAAAACAAAAAAACGTAAGGGAGCAGAACCTCAATAAAAATAGGCTCGCCTCGGCCGAGGCTAGGCCAACCGTGACTCAACGTCACGTGACCATGGGAATTCTGGACGTATTGCTGTGTTTTGCAGAAATTAATACACCTCTTCTTTAAAAGAAAGTCGAACAGGCACCATTGCCTAGCAACTGTGTAAGCGGCGCAGAACACGTTTCTGGATTCATCTCCCACGTAAAATCTAGAGCAACACTGTAGGCTAGTTAGTCTTAGTGCATTACAACTGTCTTTTTAAAAACTTTTTAAAAATATGCTCTTGAGTTTTACCTGACTGTGTTCCTCATAATTGTTCAATTAGGTCTAGATCTAGATCTAGAATCCATTCATTATAATACATCATTATACCAAGGTGTTTGAATGCTTTCAAAGTTTTCATTGTTGAGATTTGTGTGAGCTGATCTTTGATTCTTTGAAACGGTGCCGAGGATTCTTATGAGGATTGCAACTTTTTTTAAAAAGAGGCTGTGCTTTAGCATTTAATCTAGATCTAGAACTATAGAATTGTATCACAAAGGCGGGCCATCTGAGTAAATGACACAGTAGATAGGCCTACCGAAATTCCTCTTGTTTGTTGATTTTCTGCAAATAACTTTGGAAGCTACCAGGTTTTTTAGAGTGGTTCACAGATAAAACTAAACAGAGCTATTATTATTTGACATGCTTTATGTAGTCCATGTCAAGTGAGATATAATTAAGCTAGGTGCAGATTTGATTTTTTTTTAATGGTGGGAAAACTGTTGACACTGTCCACAAATAATTGGAACTCGATGCTCCTATTTAGTTTAATTATATTGATTTATGTTGCGACTAAATATTTATGCTAAATGCTGTACTCTATGCGTGTTGTGTATCCTCTGGTGTGATTTAACTGGGGGGG